CGAATTGATGACGAACAAATTGACTTGGAGAATAATTATGTCGGTATACGAATTGATGACGAACCAATTGACTTGGGGAATAATTATGTCGGTATACAAATTGATGAGGAACCAATTGACACGGGGAATAATTATGTCGGTATACGAATTGATGACGAACCATTTGATTTAGGAACTTATCATGTCGGTATACCCATTGATGACGAACCAATTGACTTGGTGAATAAATGTACTGTTCTATATATCAATAGAATACGATGGTTCAGAATGATTGCTCACATAGATTCTTTCAAGGGATATAAAGTACATTAATTGTCCAAAATGGTAAATGTTCCCTGTAGTTCTCCTTTTAAACACCCATGTTCCTCTACAATTTGGTGAAAACAAACAAGTAAGGTAATATTTCCACAAGCTAATTTAAAGTCTACGAATATTTAGCAGGATTAGGTTGGAAAGCAAACTCTGAGTAGAAAGATTAGATTGTGGCCAGAGAGCATTGAGCATCCATATAGAGCATTCCCATATGACACACATACATAAAAACTATATAAATAACTTACTTACTCCCACAGACATCCGACCTATATACCTAAAGCTACAAGGATCATTGACAACTTTCTGCAGATAGAATGCAAGACGGCGTTAACGATGTTACAAACCAGACTAGGCTTGATATGACCCACTCCCACAAACATCCAACATGGATACTCAAAGGAGGTGGCCCTTGGTACGATATTAAATACCATGCTTTGATGGCTTGAAATAACTTACTCCTATTTTTTTCCAATACGGATGCCCAAAATTGCACGTGATATGATGTAAGTTTTATGTATCCAGAATCCAAGACTTTGCTGACAATGTTAGAGACCATTGCTTGATCAAGCTCACAAACATCCGAAATAGATACTCGTAAAACGAATACTGCTTGGTATGATGACAGTTTTCTGTTGCCAGAATGCTTAGACGACGTTGACAATACTAAAGACCCTGATTTTAATAGCTTTAAATTACCCACTCTCACAAACATTCAACATGGATACTCAAAGCTACAGGGAATTGTGCTTGGTAGCCTACATAGCAGATTTTCCACTGAATGCGGAATTTAGAATGCAAGACGGTGTTGACAATGCCAAAGATCAAGTCCGAAACATCTGCCTCTATTCCAGTCAGAAGAAAAGACCCTGTTAAATGGGGATTTTCCACACCTCCAAAGATGCATTTTCTCTAACATAATATTGAATTACCTTTAAGATGATTGTAAATTAGTCACCGTAACTTTCGTTTTGTTAGTATCACGTGACTCTGTGACCTTTGAACTTTTGTTTGCGCACGCAGTTTTAAATGGCCGATGCTAGATCAGTTTCGCCAAAAAAAAAAGTTGATGGAACCGGACACATGACATAAATAGTGTAGGGAGAAAATGATGATATGACTGAACTACAAAAATATTCATCTTTACAAACACAATTGCCAGTAAAAAGCGTACGGATATCAGGATTTCCAGATTATCGGCAACCGGATAAACGCAGCTCCACTGTATATTGTGGATTCGAGGTATCTAAATAGGTTAAAAACACCCACACCTGCGGAGATGCGGAATGACCCTATTTAACAGGGCTTATTATTTCTGTCTCTTCACCAATCGACATCTGTCCAAATAGCTATCAGAGGATGGAATAGAGACAGACAGTTTCGGTCTACTAAAGACCATGCTTTGATAGGTTTGATAAAAGAAAATGAAAATGAAATGAATGGAGTTTTACGTCCTACTTTTCTGCACCATGTGGGCTAATGAAGACGGGCAACGCCATGCAGGGTGCGATGAGGGAAATTTTGCCACCATAGCGGCATTAGCCTGCTCTTTTTCGATTTCCAACTGTCGAGGGATCTTTAACGTGCACAGCCTGTAGTACACGGGGCCTCGGTTTATTGTCCCATCCGAACGACTAGACGCTTTTTCCATGTCAGCCCCTCTTACCTGCATCACTGACAGGGGGCAACCGGGTTGAAAAATCCGAAGATATTATCTCGACCTATGCCGGAATTGAAACCTGGACCTTCAGGTAAGCGAGCAGGCGTCTAACTCACTGAGCCACAGCGGCTCCCAAGTTTGATAAAAGAATAACAACTATGAAGTTAAATGATATTTATGAATTTAAAGACAATATAATGGCGTTGATGACAATATATTGGATGCGTTGCAGAATATCAAATATAAAGCTATGTTTAGATAATGATATTGCATAAGAGAAGGGCATAAAACTCCATTCATTTCATTTCAAATAAAGTTGCATTAATTTTTTCATAAACATTTCAGCTGATTTAAAATGTAAAACAGAATCAAATCAGTTTTTTAACGACGTGCATAAGATCTGACCAAAACAGGTATTCTAATTTTTTCGCGATAACATATTTTGATTGCGACGTTCGGGTATTATGATGAATTGATGTACATAAATAAAAGTAACTTTCTTTATCAAAAATCGCCTTTACTATTTAGTACTTATCGGAATCTAGAAGATATAGATATCAAATGAAGTTTATCACGTCTGAGATACGTTCAGGTATGTTAATATTTTATAACATGATAAAGTGAAATAATGAAACAATTAGATATATTATATTGTGGAAAATGTTTTAAAAATCATTTCCATTAAACGAAAAATAATATCTGACAGGCAGGAACTCAGAAATTAATATAGAACTTCATCCAAAGTGCCAACAAATTATCAAGAGTTTTGTTCTCAAATCCGGTTCATATTCATTATAAACGTATACAATTAAAAAAAATATCACTTAGTCTCAGAAACGTGAATTGTTTTAGCTAAGCTAATCAGTAAAAGAGTTCACAGCTCAAGTCGACATTTAAGCCTTTAAATCCACGCATTAACGAAATGTCCGCACTTGTGACGACTCGTCTTTCCATGATATTCTGCCATTATATAGACCTATATGGAAAAAGAAAGTGAAATTTCTATTTCTAAGAATAATTTAAGGGATTATACGATTTTCGTGCAGTTCTAGTGCTTCTGAAGACCCAAACCAAACCCAAAACTGGTGAACCATGGCCTTTAACAAGAGGGTTATTATCTTGGTCTATTTGTCAATTAAAATTAGACTCAACTTTCGTTCCGTTTTTTATCGTTTAAACGTAATACATTTATTTATTTGTTCCGAGCCCGACATTATCACACTGTGCAGTGTCAACCCAAAAATTGAGATACGTTATTTTGTTAAGTAAACAAGTAAAACGCTTTTGGAAAGTAGGTCAGTGAAATTTCAAAATTTCAACCATCTGCTGTTATTTTAAAGATTTTCCAAAATATATATATATTAGTTTTCGACCCAAGGAGGAGCATTTCTTAGTTTCAAGAATTCAGATTATAATACCTCTTTCTAGTCTTATTAATCAGACCAAACTTTTGATCAGTATTTTTATTAGTTTTCATTTCAATATAGTGGGCCTATCGAACATTGTCAAAATAACCGTGCGACTTCACTGGCTCAACTACCATAAGAACTGGTTGAACCAAGTCCATGGGCCCAAAAATGAGTGTAATAGCGACAACAGTCTGATTATCAGACATTAAATTGACTTACAGGAGGGTCTCAGAAAGCAGGATGTTAAAAAAATTCCCGGGGTAGGGGCCCCAGCGCTTTTATATCAACGGACATGTCTCTGACACTCAAACTTTTCCGGTCTTCGACGAAATACCTATTGTTGCAGCTGTGAGTAGACAATGTGGGACTTGATGTTAGAGACTGATTAATTTGACTCTTGTCATTCCTTGTCCACATTCTTCTTTCCAGCATAAATTGGATCTTGTCGTCTACATAAATAGTCGATATCTACGTGATGTATTGCAAATTGTAGTCGACCAATTGTTCGGTACGAGTGTTACTAAGGAATCGCCATAATTAACATGCGTTTACCTTACGGAAATCATTTGTTCCAGATGATAAATATTCAGAGTGCTGATTAAGCCAGAACAAAGTTTAAGTTTATAGGTCAGTAAGAGCAAGGTCAAAAACGTTATGAAACGTGTCAAAATGATCATAGTTACGTACGTATTTTATGATAATCAGGTGGGAAAAGGGTACGTGATCTCCAGTTGCCCGCGTGTCGAACCAAAATAGATAATAGTCTTATTGCTGAAATGATAACATAATGATTATACCGATAAGTATATTGACGACTCGAATATTTATAATTGCATGTATCTATATATATTATACTCATTAGTCAAATATGCATAATTCATAATAGTATTATCTTGTTATCTCCTGATGAGAATTTAAAGAAGAAATATACGAAAATAAAACGATGAAGGAGAATTGCAATATTTAATTCAGCTTTAGACTACGTGATATATTGATAGCCTTTGAATATTTCCGAGCGTAACAAATTCTGAATGTAGGTAATTTGGTTACAAGCAAATATTAATGTCATATTATTTATTAAACTAGTTTCGAGAGAATTTGTTTACAAGAAAATTTCTCACAGTGATACGGTCAAAGACAAATTGACATGTACTTTGGTCGCACGCGCATTGGTCACATTAACATGATCACAAGTAAATAATGGTCATTTATAGTCATACTATAGTCTATATAGTGTCAGTAACATGGCCACAAATGAATTGGTCACATTAAATCTAAAGGCAAATGGTAACAGTGACGTGGTCAGAAGTAGACTTGGTCAGGGTAATATGAATACAAAATAAATCGTCCACAGTTCGTTTTAAGGTAAATGGTCACAGTGACATGGTTAGAAGTAAACTTGGTCACGGTAATGTGATAACAAAGTAAATTTGCCACAGCAAATTAGTTAAATGAAAAATTGGTATCTGTAGTGCACCTACCAAAAAATTCCTTTGGTCAAAATGTCCCAAAATTTTTGCCAAAGTTTCGATTTTAACGGATATAACAGTTAAGTTGTAAAAGTCAAATGTCCAAAAAATATTATTTAAATAGTTCTACATCGTAAACTATATTCTTAGGTACAGTAATGCAGTTGATCAAGATTTTCAGTGTTATTATAATGGTGATAGGACCAGTTGATTCTTACTCTGATGGTGCACCTGAATCAGTATGTAAATCAATGGATCCGTCCAAAGGTCACGGCGCTTTACCTCAAACAACAGAATCTTGGTATTATATTAAAGTCAACTCTGATTATTACCAACCCGGACATCAATTAGAAGGTAATTGAAGAGCTATTTAATTCTCAAGACGGGGTACGGTGTCCAATATGGTGCGGGAATATCGATACAGTGGAAAATAGTAGAAGCTAATCGTGCCCGCACCGTGTCCGAATCCGAAGCCTATCTCGTGTATTAACTCCTTCCATTTTCTTCTGTATATCTCGCACCGTTCACTACACCGGACACCGTACACCGTCTATTCGCAGCTTCAGAAGGTATTTTTTGCTTTTTTATGTCAAGTATACAATCGTTGTATCCTGATACTATGGATATTAAACATTTAGCGTAAGATTCTTCCAAAAACGTGAAGAGGTTGTTATTTGAACACTTTTTCACGTAAATGTCTTAAAACTTGGTTACTATAGTAATCGTAAAGGGGCAATACATTTACCAGGTCAATTAATTTTGCACTCGGCAATCATCGGCAGTTTCCGTAAAGCTGATTCTTTTTCGTTAATGAATGGTAGATTCTGTTGTGTCTTTTGTTGCGAGCGTCTTTACTTAACTGGTAGTTAGAAGTGATTTGTCAGGGGGTAGTGATATTCCGACCTAGATACTGAAACTAACTTACACATTAAGTGTTATGCTGTAACTAGCAGTTAGCCAAATATACATTGTATTGTCAGTTTGAATCCATATCTAACGAATATTTTGTTTGACTTTGTTTACAAACACTTGTTGTCCCGAACGATCAGCCTCTGATATTTGAATTTGATATCAGAATCAGGTGATCACGTGACAATCTCGACAAAGTTTCGGAAAACAATGGCTGTCATTCATTAACGAGATATGTAGCAGAGCTTTGACGATATACCGCTTGTCAAGTTTGAATAGTACAAACAAAATCAAACAGTGGAATACTGTTAATAAATAAATTGTGTTTGCATTCGAGTTAGCTACAAAACCTCGCTCAACTTTCTTGTGAGTGACTTAATCGCAAAATAAACACACACCGCAATAAAAAAAAATAGACAAAATATTAATTTTTATACCAATTATGCAATAAAAACATTGATGTTGTACGACACTTGGAAGATGTATGATGTGAAATGCAATGGGGTTTACTTTTTGTGCCCATAGGCTTCTAGGCGTTAATCCGTACCAGCCTCGTAGAACAGACTTAAATCATTGACAGAAATTGGTGGCTTTGAGCACGAAAACCGAAATGACTTCCTTGTCACGACCAATCTTGTGGCATTGAAGAGACAAAAATCGTGCACAAGACGCTTTTATCACGTAAATGTCTTAAAACTTGGTTACTATAGTAATCGTAAAGGGGCAATACATTGACAGAAATTGGTGGCTTTGAGCACGAAAACCGAAATGACTTCCTTGTCACGACCAATCTTGTGGCATTGAAGAGACAAAAATCGTGCACAAGAACACTTTTATGTGCCTTCACTGTGGCTGCTCTCTCTGCTTCGCTTTCCTTTCATTTGAATTTAAAAAATCAAAGAATTTTAATGTTTATGAATGTAACTATTATGGTCTTAGCTTTTAAATACCACATCAATAATTCAAGGATGAAAAGAATTATTCAAGAATGTAAAATGGGTTGACGGTTTTTCATAATGCGGTGTTCCATTTTATTTTGCAGGCTGGTAGAGCAAAAACTGAGACCATTATATTCATGAATTGCTAATCAATCACTTTTTGTGAGACCACTTTGATGTTATGGCATCTATTTCTCTTTGTTTTCCACACAAGACAGACATAGTTGAAATAATGAGGATGATTATAACGCGTTTCAATGGTCGATTTTATTCAATTTAAAATAAGAATGTATTAGGCCCTTGAGATTATACCTTTTGATAAATTATTTTCATTATTTCTTTCAAGAATGACAAAAATAGGATGGTGCAAATCGATGCAATTAGTAATCCCAATACACATCAAAAGATTTAAAGGGACTATTTCGATGAAATTAGTAAAATGGACAGATTCGGCATTCTCGAGCGTCAATCGACACCATAGCAGTCACAGTATATCGTTTTTACAATAATACCTACTCTTTTTTTCAGTTCAGATAATGTTAAAGAAAGCTGGTCAATACTTTGAAGGTTTTATGCTGGAGGCAAGGCGGGTAGATCCTGATGAAAAATGTGGAGAAAAAGTTGGAACATTTGAAGAAAGAAACGAAACCCAATTGATATGTTCTGGTCAAACGGTCAGTATATCTTGTTACCTCTTACGACACAATAATATATTTTCTTGTTTTATGGCTCTTACCTTGCCGACATCCGACAAAATGCACAAGTTTGTTTTGCACTAATTGATCATTAGCGTTTTTCTTACATCGCTGAAGTTAGTAAATGTATCAAATTGATTGGATTGTATGGTAGCGAATACAACCAGTCAGAGCCAAAGTCTATAAACGTTTACCGGTAGGTCTGTCGAGTGCTCTGATTAGCTAAGTTCGTGGTATACAATCGCTGATATCCGTGATATCAGCTAAAACTCAATAAAGTCAAGGTATAAAACGACATCGTAATAGCTTAACATTTAGAAGATGATTAGAATTATGTCAAATTGTTATGTTCTTTCAGGTGACTCAAACCTCCGCAGATATAAAGAGAAATTTAACTTTCATATGGAATGCACCCCAAAAGTCTTCTGGTAATATACAATTTAGGTAAAATATAATAAAAAAGTATAGTAAAGTAAACATCGAGGTCGCATAATATTGTCTGAAACAAACAATATTCGATACCCTTAAATAATTGAATATGATTTATAATTAATTCAATTTTTTGCGATTTTTCGGAGCTTCTATTATCAGGCACTCTTTGTATAGCTTCAATGAAAGATCCTCGTCGTAGACAGGTATAGTTTGGGCCTCAGAGACTAGATTTTCCATTGAATGCTTTTGTCGGAGCATATGTACGTATCAACTGGATTTTGCATTCGATGGGAGCTACAGTTTTAATCGGATATTAATAATAACTGCAATTGTCGAGACCTGAAATTGCCTTTGTCATGTTCATAATACTTTGCGACTGCCAATAGGGTCACTGTTTTTGTTGAGCATATTTCTTTCAGACTACATTCTGTTTTGCCTTCTATGTGTATAGTTCAGTTTCGCTCACAAACGAAGATGAAAGAAAATTGAATGAAATGAAATAAATGAAGCTTTAAGTCCTTCTTTTCTTTGCCCGATTTGCTAATGGAAACGGTGAAAGTTGAATTAAGTGTGGTTTAAAGATAAAATAAGATTTAATTACTAACAACGACGTTTTCAGAGCAACTCTGGTTAAATCTGAGAAAGTATTTTGGTTAAATGTAGTGTCGAAGGTGATATATGATAAGTCTTCAGGTAAAAAGATCAAAAATAGTCGAAAAGATTTTGTTGAGTGTCCAGTTACTTCAACCACTGTCATATCAAAGCCAACAGTAACAAGTCCACCTGTAAGTCATACTATTATTCTTTATAACACCGTTTAGAATTATGAGTATACGTTTCATTCATCCATTGTGTGCCTAGTGGTGAAACAAAGATAAAGAAAGAAATGAACTTCGATTCAAAGGGACCTCTTCTACCAGTTGGTGCCAGGCCGAATCTTGGAAAATCGGATCGACTGAGGTATAGTCCAAAACATCTACCTCTATAAGTATATTAAATCATTTAGATAATATAATAGGAATAATTTGAATGTGCCACTAGAACTCATCAGAATCATTGATGACTTGCGACGTTATTCTGTTTAAATTTAGCTCTATCAATTGAATTTTCCAATGTATACCCTTATATCTTTAGACTTCTAAACTTGAAAGTGACGCTGCATGTGGTGATACTATCGGATGTTTTCATGACTGTAAAAAAGATGGTAGTTGCAACTTTATATTTTCATGGAAGGAAGTTGGTGAAATAATGGAAATGAATATGAAAATGGCCTTTTCTGGTAATGACCAAAATAAATGGATGGCCGCTGGCTTTTCTGACGATGATATGATGGTAGGTGAGAGAGGTCGATAAACAAGGGTAAAGGGGCCGTAGTTAAAACCACATCCCTTATCAATAAATAGACCTTAAAATATCATTTTGATGGTGTGTTACACCTGTCGGGGATGTGACAATTCGGCAAATCGGAGGAAGTACATATAGGCGTCTGAGTGGGTTTTTTCCTCGACAAATGTTTTGAAAATAAAATTGGTTTTGTGTAGTCTGACATATTTTGGAGCTAAAACGTAAAAGAATCATAAATATCATATTTTTGATTTTTTTACGAAATGATGATGATATACAATCGGCGACACACACGCACTTTTTGTACCCCTACCCTACCTTCATATATGAGATATTGGTTATCTACATATTGAATATGTGCTGTTGAAGTCAAAAAAGTTTTATATACTACACAATTTTTTTTATTCCATGAAAGGGTGACGACAGCTGTGTAGAATGTATTTCATTTAATGGCAAGATCATTGCTTCCCAGTCCTATAATAATGGCAAGAAGAACACTAAGATAAATAAAGTAAGTCTATTAGTACAGCTTTGCATAGATGACGCTAAAGTGAGTCTCCCGGACCTCACACAAAAGTTTTTGATGGTTAATTAGGAATTTTATGACTATATTAGTTATATTTTACTATTTAGCTTAAAGGTTTGTACTTTCTCGTTATTCTTGCACCTGATCTTATTAACTAGTGAATGATGTTAAGATCAAAACTTTCCCCACAACGTATTTAAACTACATTTTGACATACTTCTGTGGGCAATGTTAAAATGAAAAGAAGTATGCGTTGAGTTTTAATGTGTGGATTTGACCTCAGTGTTTCTTAAACTTCCGTGTTCTCTTCACTGATCTAGTGTCACATAATACAACTGCTTTCCAATATTTAAATTTCGGTGCATGCAGTTTGGAAGACTCAGGTTAGGGTTAGGAATTTTAGGTTGTAACATTGCGGTTAGCGTTAGGGTTATATAATTCCCTCATCCAAAGTAACATCACGTTAATGGCCTCGAGTTTTAAAGATGGTGTCATGGAGTGTAAGATTGCCAGAGAGAAAACTGGACAAGGTGATAAAGACGTATATGATCTTACTAAAGATTGGAAAGTAATGGTAACGTATGGTGCGGCTGCTCCAGGTATCTTATTAAAATTAAGATAAAGTTATCTCCCTTGAACTGCATTATCATTAAATAACGGGATATGCTATCTAGCACGTCCAGGTATTTGTTTCTCACATTATTTTAAAACATCACAAAGTTGTTCCCCTTAAACGGCATATTTCGTATATAGGCCTATTACAAGACTGGCCGTAAGGTAACTATGCGTCTTGTCTGTGTGTGTTTATTAAAATTGGTCACTCCACTATTCTAGTCACTGGCAAGGTCCGGGTTTTGAAAAATCATGTCGGTCCTAGTTGTGACATTAAGTTGTCATGTTTGAACGACATCTTAAATAACAAGACTGTCCCTTCGTTGCTTTTACATATAATTGGATATTTTCATCATTTTAGGATATGACATGATATATTACGAGGAAGTAGATATAGTAATAATTAATAATTGTAATATTTTTCTCAATATTTTTGTTACTGTATTTTAGGATACAGGAAAAATCCCCATGACGATTCACTAACTTGGATTACAGAGAATACAGTTGATTTTCAAAAAGCTGTTGATGTTGCCAATGTTCCTGTAACTTATCCTCTTGTAAAAGCACACGGTACGTTGTCTAGTAATACACTTTATGATTTAATGTCCAACGTTTTGTCATTCAGAACCGATTCAAGGTAGATAACTTGTTAATAGATTTTCAGCTCAGTGATTTCCAGAGTCGATAGATGGAATGCACTTTCCAATGGAATGCACTTTCCATCAGTTCAGGTTATAGGTCCGTCAGTTGAAATTCGAGTTTTGACAGCTATGCAGTATAAGTTTGTACACTCATAATACCACTTTTGCATCAAATTCCCTTATCCTCATATGTGAACCAACAGAAATTAAATTCTTTGTTACAGCTTGTTTGATGGTTATTGCATGGTTGGCAACAGCAGCTTCCGGTTTATTGACGGCCAGATATATGAAACCATACTGGGCCACAAACACCATTCAGGGAATGAAAGTGTGGTTTTGGGTTAGTAACATATGTGACAGGGAGATAAAACAAAATAATGTTTTAGTTGACAGCAACTCGGAAAGTATCAGGGCTTTCTCACATGACTTCTGCTTTTTAAAGGAGTGCCGGACTCACAATCACAAATAGGGTGCGCCCTCTCTTACCATCAACTGGGAAGCTTATGACTATTTTGCGATACTGTTGTACAGATGGACACATTCTGTTATTTCATCTCAAGTTTGAAGGATCAAAGCCGAAGCTGTTACGGAATATAAAGTGAAAGTAGCAATATCTGTATCTTTGTCACCCTTAAAGTCAATTCGGGAATTCTACAGGACAGAAGTTCTATAACGTGTTTTTTTTTATTAACATAAAATTATCATTTGCCTGGTATATATATTCTCGAAAGCTTAAATGATTTGCATGATGTATTGCAGCTCCATCGGACGTCAATGGTTTTAACATTGGTATTAACATCAGTTGGTTTCGGTTTGATTTTTATCCAAATTAAAGATTATAGTGAGGTACGCTTCTATTATTATTTTTCAATTTCGGTGGTTTGTCCAGTTTTGAACAATTACAATGTTCTGATATTTGTCCCTTGCATTATACAAGGCTTCACAAGTCTTCTGTTTTGATATTTCTATATCGCTCTACAACTGATGTATTGGGCACTATGTTAACAGTGAATAGTCGTTATTGGTTTTGTTTCAGATCAGTGGACCATTCTATCAAAAGGCACATCCTATATTGGGAATAATAGTCACCATTTTAGTCTACATCAATGTAAGTTATTTTTAAATGATGTTCAACTGCAAATAACATATGCAATTGCAAATATAAGACAATGTGGTTGCAGCAAATTGCTTTCTTGAACAAATATGAAATTTAGTTTCTTTCATGGTAGAAATACAAATTTAATACAATTGGAACTTTTATCATTTTATTTAGACTTAGGAAATAAACCTGGATCTCAGAAAGATGCCTCTAACAAAATTTGATTTTTCAGGCTATCATGTCTAAATTTAGAAAACCACCAGGAACACCTTATCGACCATTGTTCAATTTTGGACATTTCTTTGTTGGAACCGGTTCTTACATACTTGCCAGTAAGCATTTTATTCTACGCTTTTAGGACAAGGTAGGTAGGTAGATGACAAGTTAACATTCGCTTCCAGCTTATGCTGATATCGCAAACTAGGTAGTTGTTGTTTTAGGACAATGTATAGACATCTATTTGTACCTGTATTAAAAATACACAGTGAATTTGTACTATTGCTGACACGATATATTGGTGAATTTAAGTTATCTGTTAAACCTTAACGGGGTTTATCACAATTAAAGAAGCACACAATTGTTTCCAGGCGCCATGACCTCGACAATATATATTTGTATTCAAAGAATGTTCATTATCTCCTTTAAAGTGCAGAACATTTCTCTTGAACAATCTGAACGTCCGAATTTCATTCTGAAAAATAACAAGGATAGCTGCGAAAATGCAGTCTATTTACTGGTTGAGCGCACGTTTTGAGAATCACATACATAATATGTCACATTTATAGCACAGTAAAAAGTTATAGTCTCGAGCAACATCTGTAATGCTCATATTGAATTAGGATGTAGGCATTATAATGTATGCTATTAAGCGGCGAATAGACGAAGTAGGTGTCCATCTCCGTCAGCGGTCAATTGGTACTATATAAACTGATGGTAATATCCATATTAGTTCAAAGCTTAGACGCTGATTCAGAGATTAAGATGCTCTTTAAGTCAAAGTATTAGAATGTTTGTATAAGTTAAAATAACCTTGTCTACATATTTATATTTGTATTTTTCAGTCTTAACGATATTTTCTGGTGTTGAACTTAAAAAGCTGAAGTTACCGATTGAAAGTTACACTATACTGATCATTTATTGTGTTCTGATCTTCTGTGGTTACTCTATGATTGAAATGATACCTAAATTACCAGAGAAAAGTAAGTGGTTTTGTGATTAGTGACCTTGGGCCTTGTGAGTGCCACCTGAGCATTGTTGTTCCGGTGTTCATACATAACACAGCAAAACGTAAAGATACAGTGATTTTATTTTAGTTAAACAAATTACTTACCAAATTTCACATTTTTCTTTGAGCAGAGGCAAAAGATGAGAATATTGAAATGGATGATCCAACAACAAACGAGCCTGAAGAGGTTAAAAAACCAAAAACAGTATGTAAAGATTCTCATGTCAATATTGTACGGAGCATAGTTAAGACTAACCCGTTCTTCTGACGTGACATACAGATGTGATATCGTCACGGTTAGGACCAGACTCAAAAGGTCACATTTTATGGGAGTTGTGGTTTGTTAGTTTGGCTTTTGTCATGGAGAAAATTCTCAAAAAATAGCAATCCAATAATGGATATAGCAACTATCGTTAAATGTGACTTTTTATGTCTGGCTCTAACCATGACTATATCACACCCGTAATTACGTCTGGGAAACGGTTAAGACAAGGGAAGAAATTTGGTTCTTTTGTTGGACTCATGGCACACCCTTTAAATTTACAAGTACAATTCATTCACTATGTGAGATTATCTGAATATCAGCGAAGCATGTTTTTGTCCGCAAATGATATACAGAGAAGCTTGCGCAAAAAGTGTCATTTTCAATTCCACGCACTTGTTTTAGTGACCTTATTTTTCACGAGGGCACAGATTACCAATTAAAATGAACTTTTGGCCGAACTTGGTTTGCAAAAGGTGATATTACAAAAAATATATTTCGTCAATATTTATCGAAAGAATTTTGATTATTTTTTAATCAACATTTATTCTAGAGAGACCATCAGAAGAAACTAGTACTGGTAATACACCTGTTGGCTGCATGGGCTATTACAATAGCTCTTCTATACTTCATTATTATTAACTGAAGCCATGCTGTATCGTGTCGTAGCTCATGCTTAGATGGCATAGTTACTGGTTCTCCCCTTATTGAAGTTCCGTATTGCATCCGCCAGTTGGATATATGAGACGTCAATTGCTCACCGAGGCAAATATCTCGGTCATAATTTATGAGAGCTCATACTTAGGAGGTATAGCTTACAACAGAAATCATGCATGGATTTGAAAGCATTTACCACATGATATCGTCGTTTATAATCTATCATAGCCAATATAATATATAAGGCGATCGTTTTTGATAATCCTTTACGAGATCAGATATAAATGTATTGTATTTTAAGTGGAATAATTGAATAAAGCGACTAGATAACTATTAAATGTAACATTGATATGTTTCTTTTATTCGACCACATTACATGTAGACATATAAACCACAACCTCAATCCGCCGCCCTGTTTGTGTTTGTGTAGATGGAAGAGCAGTTTAATATATTTGACAGAGTCGACTTTTTCGATAAGCATAAATGAAGTTTATGGGATTTCTGCTTGGTGTGACATCTCCATTCCAAATTTTACATCACATTCAATCAATAATCAATATGAATTAATGCCCTTTTTGTCACAAGATATTGGAAATTTCACTCCAGAGATGACATCACCTGATGATTATATCGTCCCTTGTGATGATAAAAGTTTCATCTTATAAGTTTTCCCGGAAATCCTTTTGTGTTATTTTCCTTGACATAGCCAAAATGACTATCGTCTAACGTGATTTAGGTTTTAGTATGTGATGGGTTTGAAATAAACTTTTGTTGTAAATAAAATCCTCTAAACTTAAGTTTTAACCGACATGAGACTTTACTGTCCTTAAAATTCGGATATTTCACGACCCTGAAAAAAAAATCCCTAAGAAATGATTTTTATTTATTTGAAAGTAGATGCATAGTAGTCTTCTCCGAAAAATATTATGACGGATGGAAATCCAAGAAATCACTCCTTTTGTCTAGGAAATCAGGTATTTCACATTTACATCCGAATTGGTAAATAATTCCCAAAGAAATGAATTTTATTTATTTGAAAGTTTAAAACATGCTTACTTTAAAGATAAAAGTGACAAAGAATCCGGATTTTTTTCTTCCGATTTAACACTATAGCAAGAAATGTATCAAGTTATATGATACCTAAATTACCAGAGAAAAGTAAGTGTTATGTCAGATGTCAATACTACAATGGTAGTGCTTCAATTTTATAACACTTTCAAGACTCACTTTCAAGATTTACATGGTGGTTTGTTACACATGCAACCAATTCTATTGGTAATGAAGATTGCAATAACTACCGAATTGATCTAGACCAAAACGATTTTATTTGTAAGAAGGGGCTAATCTAAGATGTTTGACTAAAAGATAAATATATCTAACTACACACTTTTGGTATCTTATTTGATGGTAGAGTCAATTACAGAATCTGGAAGCTTTAAACTTAACAATAATAATAGTAAAGAGAAATCATCATATAGCATGATAACAGATACACAATGCTAAGAAATAACCAATGTGAGCTCTTCCCAAAACCTTTCCCTTGTGTGGCTAATGCTGAATCAGTTAAGAATGGTATGAGAGATATGACATTTGTAGAATAAACCACAACGATCACAAAGGTAAGGATGTGTCAGGTTTGTTGAGGAAATATTGGCAAGGGATATGACTTTGGCAAATGTCAAGCAAATCTAGCTGCCGAAATTTTGATGCCAATGGAGGAACAATTTAATAGTATGTAAGAAAAAACGCATCTTGGGAGGTGTTGTTAATCTCCATTTCACATTGCCTATTTTTTCTGACTCTACACTGTCGGAATATTCATCAGAGTCTATAATAGTCAAATAAACCTCTATTCCAGCCCTCCAGATAGATATTGACATATCTATAGAGGTCAAAATAGAGGCAGAAGTTTCGATCTAACTTCATAGAGGTTTAAATTTTAGACAGATCAAAGAAGTAATATTAAAGTCGATCCCATTGAAACGATAATGTATACTAAAAATAGTACTATGTATGTAATCACAACTGGTTTCTAATTATATATACTTTATATATAAGGAAAATAATGAAATTAAAATGGTTATGACGTGCTGAAGTTAATGTATTATTATGGATGATGCATAATGTTTATTTTTAATCAATTGAAATCAGAAAAATAAAAATTTCCTGTACATTGTGCCGAAAATAAATATTATCATATTTGTATGATAGGAGGTGTCAAATTTTGGAAAGTTTACCGTAAAATAATCAGACACGTCCTCAATATCTGACGACAGCCTGTGAATTTCAAGCCTATTATTTCATTTATAAGTCACATTGACATAAGTCAATTTTCATAATCAAAAAAGTCGTAAATTATATCTGAAAATATATCTAAGATGCTATTTAAAAGGGTTAATCATACTAGGGTAGCTCATGGTGGTTTTGTAAATTGTGTCGAAACGTTATGTACTCAGTTTTTAAAGAAGTGTGTTATATCATGATATATTCTCTTGTGTTTTCTGTTATATTATGTGTGCTCCCAACTTCTAAATGTCGTTCAAATGTTAGTTTTAGTACTTCTGAAGAATATTCATATATATTCAATTTCCAAATAAACCACCGGAAATAGTCCTAGGTACCGCATTTGTCCCTTTAAAATAACATCACACCTTTTATCTTCATTCCTTTTCAAGATCTCGTCATACATTGATGTTGAACATTTGCATAAAGAGGTCAGGTCAACGAGTCTGCATGGGTTTGATTGCAGCATCTGTTGCTTTATTAGCATATTTGCGTACATCTGGTTTAGTGACTTCATCAGAAACTGAAAATATGCATAGATTTGAGCAGAAAAAAAAAATTCTACGAAAATGCCATTTTTGATGTGAATGAATTTGGGCATGTAAGGAGATAGACAGATATTCTGGTTTAAATTTTTTGGTCATCATGACAACATTGACCTTGTAGCCTACGTTATCCCTGCTTTTGATGCTACTGAGTAAAAATTAAACTTGAACACGATTTAAAGAAGAATTGTTTCAGATCATGGATGCAGTGTCCTCATTGAAACACCTTTTTTCCTAAGATTTTTATGTGGCACAGTTTAGTTTGACGGCATTCGTATTGTGATTTGTTTTATATTTTGTTTCCTTTTCGCTCTCCACTACAATACATACAGCTACAAAGATTAGGCCTATTGCTTATTATTTTTCCGTAAGATCTACTTTTATGTACAAGGTTTTGATTTGTTTGGTTATTGTTCTGACGTGGAAACTTTTAAGACAGACTAAGCCATTGTGTTAAGTTTTTAAGAATCATCGGGTTTGGAGGCACAGAATTTTCAGGGGCTACCTGGAAGTTCTTTCCTTTCTGTATAATAATAAGAAATTTGAAAGTCCCCCCCCCCCCCCCTCCACTCTCGTAAAAACGCCATTAAATTAAATTGTTCTACATATTGTTCTATATATTAAACAAAATGGGAATGCCCAAACTGAGGTTATAAATTTAAATCGCAGTTTAAAATCAAATTCTCACAACCTATTATTGCTGCAAAACACGCTCTAATTTTAATCATAACAAATCATTCGGAAATTCCCGGCAGCTTCCGTAAAGCTGAATCTTCTTCGGGTATGAATGGTAGATTTCGATGTGTCATTTCGTTGTGGAGGCGAGGCTCCTTGTTCAAGATTTTCAAAATTATTTTTCTGCCAATCCACAGAGGTGAAGGTGATGGTAATTTTTCGACCTGTATTAGTCCCTGGCTTTATAGCTTTTGCTTTGTTTTACTGTCTTGTGACAATCTGGACATAGAACTGGTTAACAATGGCTGTCATTAAATGTCGTGATATGTTTCATAGAGATAGCGGAACTTTCCAGGTAACCCGTTTGATCACGTCATGTTAGCAATATGATATTTTGGAACAAATTTTACATTTTGGAGTTTCCCTTACTATCATATTTATAGTGAAGCGAATGATTGGAAATATCCATCATGCATTTCGTTGAAATCTCGTGGGCTATAAAAAGAGGCGCGCACTTTTATGGTCACAGTTACCCTGGGAATACACAGAGTAAACGTTTTACAAGAGTTAATAGAAAATATTTTAACGGATCAAAATGGTCAATAATGTAAGTGAATATTTTTTTTATGTCTCTTTGGTTTGCGGTCAAAAAATATTTTTTTATAATGGTCTAAAGTCAAGGCTAACCACCAATTCTAGTCGATGTAAAATATAGTAATATTTTTGGTAAAATATATCCAAATATGTGTTAGTTGAAAACACGAGTAACTTTTTTGAAAAAAAAATTTGCCTTGGCTTTAAAAAACTTTTTTTTAAATTTCTCTCTTATATTTTATTTTACGGATATCCCGCCCTTCATTTTGAGTTTTTTGAAAAAAATTTGTTAAAAAAAAAATAGATATCCCGGACATATATCTCTGGCAATTTCGTGTATGTAAAATAAAATAATTAATTTCTTTTAATTTTTTAAAAAACATTTTTTTAAATAAAAGAATATTATTGCTCGTTTCTGTGTTTCGAGACGATAGATTTAATATTCATATTTACAATTTTTATTTTTATAATATTCGATCGCCAAAAAATTAAACTCTTACCAATATTCAGAATCTGTTTATTTTTTACGTTCGCTAGTATCCTTTATTTCGCCTAAATTCGCGACTGACGGAAAATGAATTTGGAAAGGCCTTACTGTCTTTAAAAAAAACCTAATATCTATATTGGTTGGCCCAGAAAAAAGGCAAAAAATGTTCATTTCAGGATTATTCTTAAAGTATCAAAGCTCATTCTAATTAAAAAAAGACAAAACTTTCATTCCGAAATTTTTTTTTGATAGGTTTAAACACATATAGCAGCATGTTTCCATCTTTTTGCGTGTTATCAATAAACTTTCTTGATTTTCAGAGTGGTGGTTGTTTCCCAGCCCATTCAGTGATAACCTCTAAATTAAAGAAATATTTAGAGGATCTTAAAGAAGGCGATAAAGTATTGGCTTGGAATGATAAAGGTGATTTAGAATTTACTGAAGTTTGGGCTCGGACCCACCATGTTATTAATGAAAAATCAGATTACATTCAGTTGGAAACAACCACAAAAAGGTTGGTCCTTAGTCACCGACATTATGTCTTGGTGAAAACCGGGGAGGAGAAATCCGAATTCAAGATGGCTAAAGATGTTCAGGTGAGTATACATGTAGATTTAATTACTGTTATATTAGGTCTAGACCTATCATAGAAGACTGAATTGAATATACAGCTATGAATAAGATCGTAAAGGCTAAATTATTGTTTCGATAGGTTCCAGATACTTATTTTTCTATACACCTGATACCACTTTTCATTATGACATACATATACTCATGATTGGCATACTTCCTTATGTAAAAAGTTAGGTAGCTGCTGCCAATGTTTTGCAAATATGTTTTGGATTTCGTGTTTCGTTTTGCAGAAAGTACTTGGTTTATGCATATAGACATATTTACAAAACAAAACGTTTAGAAATATTAAAATAGAACCTGAATATATTTTTACATAGAGTTTCAAACTAAGCGATCTTCTGGTCTATTTCATCCTACGTACCTTCTGAAGTTTAATAAAATGGTAGTTCTTATGACTTGACTGCGAGATAAGTTACGAACGTTTGCTAAAAAGAAGTTTTGATGAAAAGCTTTTAACGTTTTTTTTTTTAATTTTAGATTGGGGAAACTTTGATAACGATGGCTGATGATAAAACTGTGATTGAAGAACCAGTTGTAAATATAGATGAAGTCGAAGAAGAGGGCATTTACAACGTTTTTACAAAATCTGGCAGAATTATTGTAAATGGTATATTCTGTTCCACATACGCAGAAGTAGAACCAAATCTGGTCCACAAAACAATGGCCCCCTTCCGTACTGCATATGATTTGGCCCCGAAATGTGTCATGAAGAAAATAATGACCCCAAATAAGGAAGGCAAACCCCATTTATTTAAAATTGGAGGTGACATTCTTAAACCAATCGTATCTTCAGTTCAAAATTGAAATGGAGATAATTTGCTGTGCTTGTATATTTAGTATTTTGTATGTTTTCTTTTATAATCATGATTTAATCTGTCAAAAGAGTGGTAATATAGGTAATAGCTTGTTATCCAACCTCTTCATCTTTTGTGTGTGAATACAGTAATTTTTTTACAAAAAAATATTTTTGTATATGCTTTTTATAAGATAGTCGCATGGCGCCTCTATAATGGCTTATTTTTAATAGTTTGAAAAATTACGCCTACTTATCAAAGTCACCTCCACTTGATTCTGGATGAATTTTTTTTTTAACCGTCACTATATTAAACACTTAAAATATTGACGTTTAAATTTTGTTTTGGCCAGAATCAAGTGCCTGTGGTGAAAGTCTCGATTTTATGGTCGACATCACAAATGATACATCATTCAATAATTAATAGTTCCTAATATTTAAATTAGCAACCGTTTCATGTGTTTAACATACAGTCTTGCAAAATAAACTTCATAGGTGGTAAATATATTGGTCTCCTTGTTATTTACTACTTGTATGAGTGGCGGGCCTCGCTTTAGCCCCTCCACTTTCAAAATTTTTTAATCAATTTACACAGTGAAAGTATAGCCTCTGTCCCCCTGGAAAATGTTGTGGCCCCTGTTCGGCCCTCAACTATTTTTTTCAAGAAACACCACTGCTCGGTATTTACACCTATTACATCAATTCATCTATATATAATTTAATGTATATTGTAATTTCTATTGAAGTTTCTATCAGAAATACTGAAATCTTCATTATCACCTTTTATATCATGTTTAGTTATCTTATAATAAAACGTAATTTAACTTTTCATGTTAAATATAATCTGTCTTCTGTCCTTTGGACAAGGGTTATTCTGGACACGCGTGGATTTGACGGTTGAAATTTCGACGGTGAGCTGTGAACACTATTACTGACTAGCTTTGCTAAATAATTCCCGTTTTTTGAGACTACAATTGGTCAAGCGGGTGTTGAAACTGTCCCTTTAACAATTGTCGATCATATTCAGAAAGATAAATGAACAGAAAGTATCACGACAAACATTGTTTGGGGTATAGAAACTATAACAAAACATGTTTATCTTCAATATTTTAATAATGATGAATGAAAAGAAACATGATTTTTGACAAGATGAAATTATACTGTATATATGATGTATATATGATTTGAATATACAGAAATATAAACAATGAAAAAATAGTTTTGTAACTGAAAAAGATGGTATCTGATTACTTGCTTAGTTGCATGTTAATTATATAATTTGTATAAATTTACAGTTATTTGAACACAATATGTAATTGGCAGCATGAAACAGGTCTTGTACCCAACTCTTAGAAATCAATCCTATTCATAATTTACATCATGCGATAAAACAGGGGTTTTCAACCTTTTTCATTATATTACCCCTTTCATGATTCTTGATTTATAGATCCTGTCAACCTATTAATCCTTACTATTTTGTGATTTTCTCTTAGTTTTCCATGTCCAAGATTACAGCCTGAGTAAATAGGGCGACCTAAATTATGATTGTCCAAAATTTATGCTAGTCTACAAAGCATCTCATTACACCCCCAAAAATTTCAAAATTATTTGATTTCCCCAGGTTGAAAACCTAAGCTGTAAAGTGGAACACTTTTGATAAAATTTCATTGCAGATTTGTTTGTCACATGAAGATCAATCGTTTTGCTATAATACATCATTCATTTTTACCAATACACTTTTTACATAAGTAATTTCTCCATTGACATAAAAATTAACATTAATAATGAATTGTTTAGAGGATTTCTAAATCATATAGCAATAAACAGATATTGTATCTATATTATTTTATTCCCAGGTTATTTCAGACTTAGTATAGGAAATCTGATTGGTGTAATTAGAGGCCAAATGCCTTGTATGTTTTAGAAACCTCTTAACAACCCTTTTGCAATACACTGATTCAAGCCATATCTAGTCAAGATTTTGGTTTGGTTTCCTGGTCACTAACATTTCTAATAAATATTTCATCTTCTGGTGTTTCATCAAGTTGTCCCTTCTCAAACATATAGGAACTGGCTATAGCTAACACTGAACCATCATTAGAGAAGGCAAGAGAGGCTATACTAGTTGGGTACCTGAAATCAAATTTTGAATTCCATTTAAATCCACTGAAATTCTCCAAAACCTCACTAAGTCACTAGACGTCTCCCAAATCGTATCAATATCTGATAATCTTACTCAGCATGATCGAATTAAAGAGCAATACAAAATCAGATAAGAAACCAAACAAACATCTTTTTCAAGGATAACACATTTAGGTTCACAAGGATCCTGTTAACTAGTTGGTCCTTGGTCAAATCTTGGCATTTATCTTCCAGAGGATGGAAATAAACTTGAGCGAAATGGAACGTAAAGAATTTTGAATTTATCTAAGAAAAACTTACTTGTGAAATTGACAGAGTCGTTTCTTGTTGAACCCATCCCAAATGTTAACATAACCATCTGAACCACCTGTTGCAAATGTGTTGTATTGACTGTGAAAGGCTATGGCATTAACAGGGTATATGCTTTCTACACCATTTTCTTTCACTCGGTGACATTTAAAGGCATATTTCTTCTTCTGTACTTCTGGTGACTGATCAAAATACTCTACTGCTACACGACCTACAAGAAATACAAAGAAATTAAAGGTGCAGTGTGCATAACTTTAGATGAAAAATGTTATAATATATGAAAAGAAAGATAACCATACACAGTTGTTTGGTGTAATGCTTATTTAATAAGATCTAATAATCTTCAAAGGGAGTTTTATGGGTATAAAACCTTATATTTTATTGAGACATACATGATAAGACATACCAACAGAGCAAGAAATATAGAAATGGACTTGAAGAACAATTTATGAGCTATACATAATAACATAACAATATTCAAAATGTTATTAAACACTTGGAGAATATAAAGATTATCTCACATATTTTTTAAGATCACAGCCACTTCAAAAACAGTGACTTATAGTCAGTGTCAGTATGGGCATCAAGAAAAATAAATTTACCTTCCACAGAGCTAAGGACATAGCCTTGTTTATTAGGAAAACATCTAATACATCTTGTTTGATATTTAAGGCTGGATTCTTTACGTTGTTGTACATATCCCATATTACGAAGGTCCCATACCAAAACTCTTCTACCAGCTGTACCCACTATTAACTTATCACCAGCAATAGATAGTGTATAGACCTACAAAAACAAATTATCATGTTCTTTCTTTCTGACTAAGTCCAGCAATGTTTATTCTAACTTATTCTAACTTAATGTTTAAACACAATGGAATCTTTAGTGAAATATATAAAAATAATTGGAGTGCTGTTGATCTTTTGCTGTCTTTTGTCCTCATTAGGGTAAGTTATGTGCTGAAGAAGATTATGGGAACAGTACAGAAAATGTAACTTTGACTTATAATCGATTATAGATTTAATAATTGATAATCGAAAATTCATAGCAACATAATTGATTATTTTACTTATAAACCCAAGAACATTTGTGAAATGAGCACCATCCAACTTTTTTGTGTGCACGAGAATAGAATATGTATATTATGAGGTTTGTAAACACTTACTTTATCAGGTTGTGTAAAAGAACCAGCACAACATGGTGATCTAGGATCCCAGAGTTTAACAGTAGAATCCCAACTACCAGTAACAATAACATTAACATCAGCTCCAAACTCTACACATTTAACAGCACGATCATGAGTTCCAACTACTGTTTCTGTAATGAAAAATAATTTTTTTTTTCATAAAAATAAGCTTACATTGGCCTATTGACTATTGACAGAAATATTCTTTAAACCAAAACAGATTTAATTCAAAATACAGTAAAGTAGGCTAAAATGTAAGCTGTCATCAGTTATTCACCAATCCAATTTTCAATCTAGAATTCTACTAAAACTAAGTGTTTTATGACGTTACTAATTGCAAAGAGCCTTATGCGATAAAGCATATTTTTCAAACCCTTTGTTATTGGTGAACTGCAGGAATCACAGAAGTATGATTGAAAATTGGAATGTTGCAAATTGATGCTATTAATGTCCCGGATACACATAAAAAAACCTCTTTACAATTCCGTTAACAACTTGGAAAATGGGGCCAAAAATACTGAGTACTCTACCTGTTTGTGTGTTAAAATCATACATCTTTAAAGTTTTATCAATTCCACCACTAAATGAATGAACAGAATCCTGGAAATAATATCATTAGAAGCAGTAAGCTTACAAATGTATCCAGAGTCTGGATTCCAGACAACAGTCAACACTTGATTTTGACAAAATCACAAGCAGTATGAAGATAATTTTTATTTTTCACATTGTTAACATATCCATCCTATATGATGACATAGCATTTTTGATTTTATTGCAAACTGTTCAGATTCAAATACAATTTTGTCAAATTTTACACCTAATCAGAAGAAAGTTTCCTTGGTCTATTCTTTACGAGCCATCCCACACAAAGATATAATCTTATAGTACTAGTAGCATACCTGAAAGCAACAATCTAGAACAGGATCAGTGTGACTGTAAATCATACGTTGATTATTACTTATAATATCATATAGTCGTACAGTAGTATCCCATGATGAAACCAACAAAAACTGGCTAGATGTTGGTCCAAACTTTATAGCTGAAATACCATCTGATGGTGGATTTTTCAATTTAAACTCACTTGGTGTCTCAACCATTTTATTTGCTACAAAAAAGAAGAAAATAAAATGAAATGTGCAGAAAATCGGGAGGGGTATAACTATTGAGTACTCCTACCTAATCAACCAATAACTCGTATAACAGCACAGTATACAAGGTTTTTCATTTTCATTTGCGAAAAAAAGAACATTGAACCTAGTATAATAGAATATTTGACGGTTTAAACGTGTTATTTAATTAGCAGTTTTTGGGTTATTTACAATCAGCTAATATTAAGAAGTTTTGATCATAAGATCCACTCTTTTAGGAGCTTTCGAACAGTACCAAAAAGTCAAAATGACCAAATATGGCATATACAAGGTTTCAAGCAGTCACCCACGATATTATACTCTTATAAGCCAAGTTTGATAGTCAAAGTTTTATGTTCATTGTAATTGTAAGAGAGGTAGTATTCTTTTTACAAGAGTTCAAACGAATGCCTGTGCTGTGTTTATGTTCCCTATTCATCTCATTTTCTCCAATAACATCTATCTTAATTATCAAATACCTATAACTAACTACGCAAACAATCTTTATTACATTAGGGAATATTTAATAAGTGCTTTTACCAGGTTTTATAACTAAAATATCAAATCTTTGTTCCCGCTTGCTTATTTTTTTCCAACCGGAAGTTTACTTTTGCTTGTACTTGCAATCGTCAACAGATTGAAACAGAGGTCGGAAATTGAACGTGTCTGGTAATAATAAACGTTCTTTTAATGTTGTTTAACGGTACTTCCAAATATCAGTTGTTTTTTTCAAACTCTAAAGACCATGAAAAGTAACTTTAGAAGAATTGAAGGCATATCATTAACATTGCGATCTAATTCCATGATGCTTTCGTAGAAAATTTTGTATATTGTACTTGGCATAAGATTAAAAGTAAAGTCAGTTAACCTCTTTCGACTCCTTTGAGTTTTTTCAATAATTTGGAAATTATAAACAGGGTTAATTTGGTATACACTGAATATTCTGAAATTCACAATTTTATTAAATAAAGTTTGATTTGGGTTCTCTTGATGGAGATTAAGGAGAAGTACATTTCTCACTGGATGATATTTTTTATTATGGCTGCATACTTAATTGTTGATGATTATCTGTAGATGCAATTTTCAGTTGAAACTCAACACTCAACAGTATGTTTTGAATAAATTTTAGTAGAATAGGCTGTCTATTTTAAAATTTGTACAGTGATATTGATAGCTAAAATTGAGTCCTACACCTATGAGCAAATATTAAAATGATTAACTCCCTTTGATTTCTATTTTGAATTTGTAGGTTTTGATTATAATATTCATAATAATTAGCATTCCAAGAAGTACTCCAAAGTGGCCATAATTAAAAGGCAGATGAAGGGATACATTTACAATGGCTCACAACAAAATTGTAACTTTAGATTTTGAAACTGGACCAGTTACAGCTTTATCTATCATATCTGAAAATCTAGTTTTAGCAGGTAATATGCTACATGTAATATATACAAAATACAAACCTAGCTCACTGTTTCTTAACCTTACTAGTAGTATTAATAATACTCAACATCATGTAAATGAGAAAAAAGCCAACATAGGATAGAAGATTTACCTTAGCTTATAGAATGAAATGTTTAGCAAAGGAACAAAAAAGTTATTTTCTTAGGAATTTTTATATTGCCGGCACAACATTTGCGTGTAAACGCTCTTAAAACTAGATTTTTTGATGGAATTAAATGAAATTCGGTATGTGTATACATATTCATGAAACAAAGAATTTTTCGACCGTTATAGAAGCAGAGTTATTGCCCTTGCCCCAAAATCTTGAATATGCTATTACTCTCTTAGTTTTGAACCGATTTTGATGAAACTTAAAATGGATGTTTCGTTTTTACCATCAGCATGCTTTGGTGGGCGTATATGACTGTGGTCCACTATCTTTGATTGTGGTTATTCAAGTATACTATAAACTGTATAGGCTATAGTTGGAGTTTCTTTATGACATTTTAGAAAAATTGGTTTGATACACTGATGCAACTGAAGAAAGATTGAGTATTTGATGATATATTTTATAGGTATTTGTGGTAATCTACATGTATATGATATAACTAAACAGAAATTGATTCATATCGAGTATGATTTATTGAACAAACAGAAAATTCATGGCATTAAAAAAGGTTTGTATTTTTCTTCTTGTTTATCCACAACTGGTCGGTGAAACTTCTAAAAAAAACTCTAGTCTGCAACAAAAATAGGTGACTAAAATCTGTGTGTGCCCGCAGCAGTATTGACTTTCTTGACCATGTTCAACGAATCCACTGACTTTGCTTATGTGATATGTGGAGTTCCAATGATTTGAATTCAACTCTCATTTTTCTGCTGTTGAACCTTGAATACGAGTCAATATTGTATAGATTAACTTAATCAGTAAAATCATTTATTGTTGTGGGATCAACTGTTTGGAGTTATTGCCCTTGATTTAGTAGAAACATTCAAATATGCATTATGAAGATCTTAGATATGAGAAAATTCATATTTTATTCCCTAAAGATTTGTTGTCACTCTGCCTGCTGCCAGCTTAGTTGGCGTATGTTACCTTGTCTGGCGAGCTATCTCTATGTTATATTTTTGTATATACCTAATGGAAACAACAGTTTGATAACTAACAAAGCATCATCCTCAATGAATAATAATTTCATTGTTGAGTATTTATTTATATTTACAGATGAAAGAGAGAGAAAAGATAAATCATCTATACAAGTTATGATACATGGTGGTAAAGGCCTACAGATATTATCAGTTAATGAAACTAAAGGACAGTTTACAGGGTAAAATCATTCAGACTGATTTCTTTTGTGAGAGAATTTTTTGCATGTATACTTTTAATTAATTAATTTTAATTTATTGAGTTGTAAAGATGACATAGGCTACAGTTTGATGCATATGATAGTTTGGTACAGTGAAGCCCTGTATATCCGGCTGTCCAAAATTTGGAAACCCACAATATCTGCATGCTTTTTAATGGGAAAGAACTATTTATTATGTAAAATTTATTTAATTTGTTTATCCATTGATCTGGTTTTCGGTTCTGCAAGGCTGTGATTGGCAAACAATTATCAAATTGTATAGTAATTAGTTTTCACCATCAGGTCGCGTGTCTATATATATGCTATAGATCCTTAAAGTACATGAATTTCCATCATGTGACACTTTAAAGATATCCGAACAGGAAGAGACGTAAGTCCAGTTATGACATGGTTATTTCAACTAATCCTAAATTTGTTAAATTGCACAAAATTTTTAGGAATGGATATGTGCAGATAAACAGGGTTCTACTGTATTTGAGTACCCATGAAAAATATTTCGAGACTTCAGGAAAAAAACGATTTCATATAACTGTAGACCCTTTCTGTTTCAGGTTATCTAAATTGAACAGTTATGAAGAATTCAATGATTGGATATGGGATGTAATATGGCTAGAATCATCAACCATTGCCATGGTTACAGCACATAATGTCATTCTACTGTTTGATTGGTCAGCTCAATCTATATTACATCAAGTAATTTGTGTGGAAAAATGTATATTGTATCCTTTTCAGAAATCTTGAGTTTGTTACAGTGGTTATTGAAAAATGATTTGCACTGCTTTGTTCTGTTAAAATAGAAATTTGAACATTTCAGCTGATCTTGACCATATTATACAAGTTTAGATATCAACAGTGTTGCTGATTTCAAATGAACTTTCTTTCATGAAGTCATTTTCATCAAATTTCAAAGATTTCTTAATGTCGATAAGATATTCAGCCCATTTTATTGGTACAGAATGGAACAACTTGATCCTTGCTGCTGGTACAGTTTTCAATCAAATTGTTTTATGGTCACCTACTGGTCAAGCTGATTCTCAAGGTCATCAAAAGGTCATTCATAGACTTGAAGGTCATCAGGTAAAAAAAGCCATTAAATGATGTTATTCCAATGATGTTATTCCAATAATGGTATATTAGCCTGCTACATTTTGACTTCAAATTTTTGTCGAATCTTAAACATGCATGGCCTATAATACATAGAGCCTCCATTGATTTTCCTCTCCAAAAGACTTGACACTTTTCCATTACATCCGAGGAATCATCTCAACTTATGCTGGAATCAAAACATATGAATGCAGGTTAGCAAACAATTGTCTGAACCTAACTTTGATCTATCATTTAAATCCAAGGCGGCCACACTAATATTGATATGAAATGAAAGTTATTTGGATGCGAAAGGTCTAATTGTTTTTTTCTCCTTGTAGGGTGTAATATTTTCTATCAATTATCGTAAAGAGTATCAGCTATTAGCCACAGCTTCAGATGATCGTAGTATAAGATTGTGGAAATTTAAATTTGAAACAAAACCTGAAACAGCTTCTGATTGGATGTCTATGTCGTCTGCACCTTTACATACCTTATATGGTCATTCAGCTAGAGTGTGGAGTGCATATTTATTACATGATAGCATAATTAGTGTAGGAGAGGTAAGAAAATTTAACACAAATCTCAAACAATTCCTATATACATTAATTGCATAAATTATATATAATAAAACATTGATTGCCATATACATATTTATGATAATCAGTGGCTCAACTACCATAGGTACTGGTTGAAATAAATCCCCCCCACACCCCCCCCAAAAAAAAAATGTACAAAGAATACAATGACAATCAAACTAAGCAACCATCAATATATAAATTAGTGAAATAACTCTTACAGACTGCAAACTTTCATTAACAGGCATTGACTTATAGAGGTGTGCCAAAATGCAGGAGGGGCCCCTACCCACTTAAATCAATAGCTTCCCCCCTCTCACTCATCTAGTTGAGCCACTGATGGTAATGTATGAAATCAAGTTTAGAATATTGATACATATGTCAAAATTTGGTGTCTTGGACACACCACAAAGTGAATATTATCCATGAGAGTTTTTTCATTATTTCTTTGAAGAATTGCTGAATGTCAATATTATATTGTAATAATACATCTTATATTCCAGGATTCTACATGTTGTGTATGGAATTATGATGGTGAAGTACTCAATAGATTTAAAGGTCATAAGGTACAATAACTTAAATATATAAGTCAGTTCTATAATCATTCCAATTTTCAAGTATTTCCAGGAAGTTAGAATTCCACCTAAAAGTTCTAAACCTTAACCCTTACATTTAAATTAAGTTATATAAATTTGAAGTTTAGGGTATGACACTTTATTTTATTTATACCTAGTGTTCAAAAGATGAAATTGAAAATGACTAGTAATATAAAAAAAAAGTAATTGATTGCTTCTGATGGGAATTTCAAATCTAATAAAATTCTGTGAAATTTCACTCTTTATATCTAGGGTAAAAGTATATGGAGTATAGATTGTACTGATGATATCATTGTAACAGGAGGGGGAGATAACTCTATTAGACTCTGGAAGATAAACAATACAGTGTCGACTGATAACAATCAACAGTTAGTTTTATCAGTTCCAGATGATATCAAAGTGAGATGAATTGTTGTTTTAAATTAGACTTTGTCCAATAAGTTGAATATAGTCATAACATGCTAATTGATAGAAGTATTCATTTTAGTGAACTTAAACTTTACCTATGGGGTATCAAGAAACCTAGATTTTGAGAATTTTCACCATGTTAAAAGCCAAATTTCGCATAAATTTGGTATCTATCCAAAGTTAAACTATTAATGAGTCGATCAAGACATTGCCAGATAATCTACTATGCCCCTTTGCACAGCACGGTATCACGATACAGTCAAGAGGTAGTTATCACTATCAGAGTTATATGAAGTAGGAAAGATTCTATCCTTGGTTTGTTTGTGGTAAAGGGTTGGTCAAGGAATATAGTAAAAATATAGTCTATATATTATATTTTTGTCCATGTTTATGGCTCATCTCTTGTCATTTTATCTGACATATCCTCTGTTTATTTCTGATGTAAATGATATATATTTTGTATGTAAAGAATAGTAAAGAAGACATACCTAGATCAGTAGTATTGAAGAACTATGATACAGCTATCATCATGACAAATTCTGGGTAAATATGATTTTCTGATATAGATGAAAAGTAATACAATAACAAATTATTCTCACTGTTGAAAAGTTTGCAATTCATCATATTTAGAGAGAAATAGAAATAATAAAATAGAACCTGAAACATAGTGTTACTCAGTGTTTCACACTGAGGGATCTTCAGACAACTGACTTATTTCAATCTGTGTCCCGACTGAAGTTTGTCAAGTTTTTCATGTGTATACTTTCAAACAAGTTCAACATTAATTTTGTTCAAAGACATTTTCTTAGGGGCATACTGAATTCGAATTAAATTGTTATCATATCCAACTTGTTCCAGTTTTTTTATATTTAATTTTAACTGGAGATGGATCTAAAAAATTGATACTGAATCTGTTTTATGTTTTGTAGATCTTTATGTCAGTATGATATTAACAAGAAAGTCTGGAAACTTATATACCATAATGCATCATTTAAATCTTATTCTCTGTTAGTGACCTCCCCTGATAAGAAATTGACTGCTGCTGGTAATATTGAAGGAGATATTTTAATTGTACTCAATGGTAAGTTGATTATTATTATTTTTTTTTATGAGGGAGCCTGTATAGAAACTTAAGGCCAATACCTACTTCGTAAAAGTATTCTCTTTGATGTTGACACATCACCCCAGTGTTGACATCATTACAGGATATTACCCTCTGATGAGTAAAATATGCAAACATAGTTTTGTTAAAGTTTTTTTATATATTATCTTGATAAGGCAGTTAGTATAATTCTTTGTTATCCAAGTAATTCAAATTATGTTGAATTTTGGGATCTCTTTCTTTGAGTTGATTATTCGATTTATAATTTCAAATTTTGGAAAGTTTGAGATTGGAAAGTTCTTCTAAACATTATTTTCAGTGATGCAAATAGGAAAACTAAACAGTTATGATTAAGTATAGGCCTGTCTATCTCTATATTTCCTTCTTGAAATAGCATGGTATTTTCACCATTATTACTCCAGATTGATGGTATATTTTTTTTATAATCAATTTGTTCGAGGGCCTGACATGGTAAATCATTGAATAGGAAAATAAATCAGGGCTAGGTGTGCTACTGGGCATGTTAAATATTTCTTGACTTAGATTCAAAAAAGATAAGCTGCTGTTACTTGATGGTTTTCATCAGCTGCATCAGGAGCAGTATAGATTAGTAGGATTATAGTGATAGGCTGTATAAATATGAGTTATATTGTTTATATTTAGATGAGTATATTTGTAAGAGATATTTTAGTGGTAAAGTGATAGGCTGTATAAATATGAGTTATATTGTTTGTATTTAGATGAGTATATTTGTAAGAGATATTTTAATGGTAAAGTGATAGGCTGTATAAATATGAGTTATATTGTTTATATTTAGATGAGTATATTTGTAAGAGATATTTTAATGGTAAAGTGATAGGCTGTATAAATATGAGTTATATTGTTTATATTTAGATGAGTATATATGTAAGAGATATTTTAATGGTAAAGTGATAGGCTGTATAAATATGAGTTTTATTGTTTATATTTAGATGAGTATATTTGTAAGAGATATTTTAATGGTAAAGTGATAGGCTGTATAAATATGAGTTATATTGTTTGTATTTAGATGAGTATATTTGTAAGAGATATTTTAATGGTAAAGTGATAGGCTGTATAAATATGAGTTAAATTGTTTATATTTAGATCAGTATATTTGTAAGAGATATTTTAATGGTAAAGTGATAGGCTGTATAAATATGAGTTATATTGTTTATATTTAGATGAGTATATTTGTAAGAGATATTTTAATGGTAAAGTGATAGGCTGTATAAATATGAGTTATATTGTTTGTATTTAGATGAGTATATTTGTAAGAGATATTTTAATGGTAAAGTGATAGGCTGTATAAATATGAGTTAAATTGTTTATATTTAGATGAGTATATTTGTAAGAGATATTTTAATGGTAAAGTGATAGGCTGTATAAATATGAGTTATATTGTTTGTATTTAGATGAGTATATTTGTAAGAGATATTTTAATGGTAAAGTGATAGGCTGTATAAATATGAGTTATATTGTTTATATTTAGATGAGTATATTTGTAAGAGATATTTTAATGGTAAAGTGATAGGCTGTATAAATATGAGTTATATTGTTTATATTTAGATGAGTATATTTGTAAGAGATATTTTAATGGTAAAGTGATAGGCTGTATAAATATGAGTTATATTGTTTGTATTTAGATGAGTATATTTGTAAGAGATATTTTAATGGTAAAGTGATAGGCTGTATAAATATGAGTTATATTGTTTATATTTAGATGAGTATATTTGTAAGAGATATTTTAATGGTAAAGTGATAGGCTGTATAAATATGAGTTAAATTGTTTATATTTAGATGAGTATATTTGTAAGAGATATTTTAATGGTAAAGTGATAGGCTGTATAAATATAAGTTATATTGTTTATATTTAGATGAGTATATTTGTAAGAGATATTTTAATGGTAAAGTGATAGGCTGTATAAATATGAGTTATATTGTTTATATTTAGATGAGTATATTTGTAAGAGATATTTTAATGGTAAAGTGATAGGCTGTATAAATATGAGTTATATTGTTTGTATTTAGATGAGTATATTTGTAAGAGATATTTTAATGGTAAAGTGATAGGCTGTATAAATATGAGTTAAATTGTTTATATTTAGATCAGTATATTTGTAAGAGATATTTTAATGGTAAAGTGATAGGCTGTATAAATATGAGTTAAATTGTTTATATTTAGATGAGTACATTTGTAAGAGATATTTTAATGGTAAAGTGATAGGCTGTATAAATATGAGTTAAATTGTTTATATTTAGATGAGTATATTTGTAAGAGATATTTCAATGGTAAAGTTTATGGTATGATATGGATTGATTCAGTTCATTTATTAACAACAGGTCCTGCTGGTCAAATAGTAAGTACAACTTGATGACTGAAGGTTTTGATTAAGCCATAGTGACTAAGGATTGACTTTTGTCTTTTCTTCATATTTGGCGAAAACTCATAGAAAACTAGTTCAATATCTGACTACTGTAAAATAGTTGAGTGATATCATATTGCTATTAACTAGTTTAATTATATCTCAGTACCATGATATAGTTGAGTGATATCATATTGCTATTAACTAGTTAAATTATATCTCAGTACCATGATATAGTTGAGTGATATCACATTGCTATTAACTAGTTTAATTATATCTCAATACCATGATATAGTTGAGTGATATCACATTGCAATTTACTAGTTTAATTATATCTCAGTACCATGATATAGTTGAGTGATATCACATTGCTATTTACTAGTTTAATTATATCTCAGTACCATGATGTAGTTGAGTGATATCACATTGCAATTTACTAGTTTAATTATATCTCAGTACCATGATATAGTTGAGTGATATCACATTGCAATTTACTAGTTTAATTATATCTCAGTACCATGATATAGTTGAGTGATATCACATTGCTATTAACTAGTTTATAATATCTCAGTACCATGATGTAGTTGAGTGATATCACATTGCTATTTACTAGTTTAATTATATCTCAGTACCATGATATAGTTGAGTGATATCATATTGCTATTAACTAGTTTAATTGTATCTCAGTACCATAATATAGTTGAGAGATATCTAAATTATTATTACATTGCTATGAACTAGTTTAATTGTATCTCAATACTGTAAAATAGTTCAGTATCTCAATAATTCAGTACATCTCTATGCTAGGCACTATGCTTTATTTTCTATGTTAATTTTTTGTAGTTACTGCTTGAAGTTCAACAGAATGACACTAATAGTGAGGTTGCTATAAGAATGAATATTAAAGGTGAATATATTCTACCACCATGTAAACAGAGATGGGTGTCTGCTGGGTTGATAGTATCAGATGATTTAAGTGATGTTGTATTAGTATGTGGTGATAGAGGTGGGACAGTACATCACTATAGACAATCAAGGTCTAAGGTAAGATTATATCAATTTTTTTAGTGGAGAAACTGAGGATATCTTTGCTTGTATCAGATAATGTCAACTATTGTGTGATAAACTCTTGGGAAGACTAAATGACATCACTAAAGTTTATTTTAGATGTATCTTTATTAACAATGGCAGATAATGCTTTTAGAAATCTGATGCCTCTCTCTGTGACTGGTGTTGTCCACTTTGATAAGAGTCTTCATATCTAATAATGTTTATTTGATATTTTTTTAAGACCCCGATACAGAGTTTCCCTAAGATACATGGTAAAGCTGGTGTAACTAGTATTATATATAGGGATAGTAAGATATTAACAGCTGGTCGTGATGGACAGTATAGAATCTGGTTATTAGATACAGACAAGATACAGTTGTTAAATAGTCATAAGGTACATATAACATTAATTAGATTTGAGTACAGCTCTAGATTTTTTTTTGAGTACAGCTCTAGATATTTTTTGAGTACAGCTCTAGATATTTTTTTGACAGCTCATATTTTTTTGAGTACAGCTCTAGATATTTTTTTGAGTACAGCCCTAGATATTTTTTTGAGTACAGCTCTAGATATTTTATGAGTACAACTCTAGATATTAATCTGATGTTGGTAATTTTATCAATAAAAAGAAAGATGGTTGCTTATTTGCATTAATATGCTGCATCATACATACAAACAATGTAGAATTGTTTAGGGCTTCTTTAGGGTCAATTGTTGGCTCATAATTGACTTTTTTTTTAAGGTGTTAAAGAATTTAGAATGGATAGATAGATTAGTTCTAACTGGAAATAATCAACTACATGTTTATGGTTTTCATTCAGTAAGTTCACCTATTTTGAATTCATCTATTTGAAATGAAATGAATGGAGTTTTACGTCCTACTCTTCTGCACCATGTGGGCTAATGAAGACGTCATCTATTTGAAGGTGAGAGGGGCAGAGATGAATACAAAAAATAAACATTAGTAAAATAAATCTTTCAAAGTTCAAAAATAAAGTATAAAGGTGTATTTTATCTATTAACTTATATCATGAAATGATTGGCAATACCCAGCACTAGTTCATTACAGTATTCAAGTTTAATTAATTTTCAAGTTGTATTTTTCAGACTAACTTTGTAATCTGGAGTGAAGTAGATAATCAACTATTACTAGAAATAAAGTGTGGTGGAGGTCATAGGTCGTGGGATTGTAAAGTTAACAGTGATGATAATGCTAGATTCTTGTATATTAAAAATGGTGACGTTATTTTACACAATACAAGTTTACTCTCTAACCAAGTTGTTTTGAAGGTAAGAAAAACTTCAAATGAATGAGTAAATAATGATTTTGCCCTCCAGGAAATGGAGTATAAAAGGGGGAATAACCTTTCAAAGTTGTGATTCCCCATGAGGAAGTGTCACAGTCTTAAACGTCCCATGGGGGGCTGGGTGGTTCATTTGTATTCCAACTGGCACCCACACTGTTGTTTGGTGAATCTTCCAAGCTCTCACTGAGCATTACCCATCTTTAGGTAAAGGCTTGCTTAGTGTTTGAAGTAAGCAGCTATCAGGGTTCGCACAGCCTTGAAAAACCCTTAAATTCCATCTGTTGCCTTGAAAAATCTTGATTTCAAAAAAAGTCTTTGAAAACACCATAAAAAACCCATTTTCTCTTGAAAAGTCCTTGAATTTTGAGTTGAGTCAAATTGTGTATATTTTTATCATTAACCCCATTGACAAATATGAACTATCTTTATTGATTTCACAGTTCAGAAGTTAGGTACATGTATATTCTGTCAGACTAATATCCTTGAAAAGTCCTTGAATTTCAAAGCCCAGAGTCCTTGAAAAGTCTTTGAATTTTTGAGGCAAAGTGCTGTATGAACCCTGGCTATGAGTTTTGATGCTTTTGTGATAGAAAATGGTAAATGTAGTTGCATACTGTTTATATTGTGGATCTCTAGTATAAGTAATAGCCCAAATTCATCATCAGTTTGAAAATATCTTGAAATATAACGAATTTTCGTTCTATTATAGCCTGCATTACATGGTCGTGAAGTGTGTGATGTAAAGTATATAGAATCTATCAATATTAATGGAGGTAAAACAAAGATTGTATTGTTCAAAGCTATATAGGTTCGAGGTTCTTGAGTCAAACCAAACTGTTATATTTTCTAGAGTTGAGAGAGACAAGTGCGACATAATATATGACTCAGCTAGAAGCTGGGGTCTAACAATTGCAGAGTCAGAATAAGTTAACATGGCCGCACGAAATTCCCAAATATGATTAAATGTGCCACTATATTACCTTAACTCGATCCAATTGATCACCTCAAGTTGCATGCCCTATCTTTTTCTGTGATATATCATCAACTTCTACCCATGAAGTTATTGTTTTTTTGATGATTTCAGACTTATATCACCTTATTGTAACAACTAGTGAAGATACAGATATTATAATATCACAGTTAAAAGGTTTGTCTGCTAGTGTTTTACTATTGTCATGGTTTATGTCCTTAACAATCTTTTTACATTGTTCTAGTTAGAGAGAACTCTATTGTTAAAACTTCCAAATATAAACTTTAATCACATTGCTAAGAATGCAAAGTAGGGTTTCATTCATTTTGAGAACCAGAAAATCAACAAACCTGTAAGAACAGAGTTCAGGATGCAATTCAAAATGGTGGAGAAATATATAAGGGTTAAACATACTAAAAGAGTTCCTACACCAACTTCAGTTTTGCATCAAATAAAGTTAGTCAATGAATTGAAAGTTTTAATTTCAGTCCCAAAGGCAAAATCATCAGAATTGTGGCCATTACAGACATTGCAAGGACATCTATCTAGTGTAAGAACAGTAACACTGAATAATCTCCCTTCAACAAGTGACAGACGACAATATTTACTATTCACTGGTGGTGGTAGAGCCCAAATTGAGATTTGGAAATTAACAGTGTGTAGAAATACTGACTCTAGTTCTATGGTTTGTTTTAATGTGGAACACGAACATCTATCCAGTTGTTTTTTGGGAAATTTAGAAAATAAAAAAGGATTCAAACCTTGGAAAAAGAAGCATGTGAATCCTGATCCTGAAACTAGAATCTTGTGTCTGACTTCATTTTGCGGCATGGACATAGATCAAGCTTATCCTGCAAGCGTCCATTTTGTCACTGCTGCCTGTTCTGATGGGTTTGTAAGGTAATATTTATAAATACACAAAATAATTTTGTGCAAAAAATTATAATTATTAAGTGAAATCCTATATAACTAATTACCAGACACAGGATGTTTGGTTTGCAATTTAGTGCCAAAGAAAGAAATGTTACAATGCCAAATCCGATGAGGAAAGGGAATAAAGATGGCTGAAACAGAAGTCTACCAGATCATCAAAAAAATATTTCAGAAATTTTCTTTTTCTTTTCAGGTTATTTTGCTTCAATGCAGAAACTAAAACTATGGAATTAATGGAACAGTCAGACTTTCATAACAACTGTGTTTTAAAAACTCATCATTTTATACATAAATCACCTAAAGGCTCACAAATATTCTTGTTGTCAGGGGCAACTGAAGGGGTTGTTGCTTTTTGGAATGTGACTAAACTGTGTTTGGATATTTTGAATTTGTATAGATCTAACTGTGATACTTTGAACTGCAACCAAAATGAGGTGAAAAATTCCAAATGTGATCTAATTTCATCAGATTCAGAAACAGATGACAGTTGTTCCAGTACTACCTCCAAAAATTTGTGTTTTCCAACAAAAATAAAACACATTCAGGTGAAAAATGAAAATATCAGTGAAGCAGACGTGAAAGATTGGCAGCCATGTTTCAAGCTGAAATGTCACCAATCTGGTATAAACAGCTTGGATACATACAAAATAGACAGTAAGTAGGCCTACATGTGATTTTGTTAATTTTGGTTGGGTTTCACAATCTAAAAGGGAAGGTCAAGTAGAAATTTGATCGTTTTCAATAAATTTGACCCTCTCATGAATTTGAACTCTGAAATATGTTGCACTGCCTTATGTTTTCAACTGATTTTCACAAAGCAGTTTTCACACTGAAAATTTGAGGTTTCTGCCTGTGTGCCACAATATATTTGCATGTTTAGACTTGATGATAATTACCGGTAGCGTTATTTTTGTTTTTATAGAGAACAAGTATGTAATAGCTAGTGGAGGTGATGATAATTGTTTATCTGTTAGTATGGTATCACTAGATAATACTGGTAGATTTAGTCTTGTTAAATCAGGACAGAATATCAATACTCATTCAGCTCAAATAACAGGTATGTTAATATGGTATCACTAGATAATACTGGTAGTTTTACTCTTGTTAAATCAGGACAGAATATCAATACTCATTCAGCTCAAATAACAGGTATGTTAATATGGTATCACTAGATAATACTGGTAGTTTTACTCTTGTTAAATCAGGACAGAATATCAATACTCATTCAGCTCAAATAACAGGTATGTTAATATGGTATCACTAGATGATACTGGTAGTTTTACTCTTGTTAAATCAGGACAGAATATCAATACTCATTCAGCTCAAATAACAGGTATGTTAATATGGTATCACTAGATAATACTGGTAGTTTTAGTCTTGTTAAATCAGGACAGAATATCAATACTCATTCAGCTCAAATAACAGGTATGTTAATATGGTATCACTAGATAATACTGGTAGTTTTACTCTTGTTAAATCAGGACAGAATATCAATACTCATTCAGCTCAAATAACAGGTATGTTAATATGGTATCACTAGATAATACTGGTAGTTTTACTCTTGTTAAATCAGGACAGAATATCAATACTAATTCAGTTCAGGTATGTGTATGATACTGGTAGTTTTATGACATTGATCTGTTTTATAATGTATAACACATTCCTCTCTTTGCCCACTTGTTAACTTCTGTTGGTATCAGAAGATGCACCAGTATGGAATATGGGGTAAAAAAGGGAAGACTGACTTATTGGAGGTACAACTGTCAGATTTCACATGTGGAATGTCTCCCACTTGTTTGCTTGATGTTTGGCTGAGATGATGTTCTTTACATTAATGTTATTATATTTTAAAGGTATAAGAATTCTATCAGAAGATAAGATAGTAACTGTATCAGTGGATCAAAGATTAAATTTATGGCAGCTCAATGATTCACTATCTTCCAAAGACATTCAGGTAATAGTTACTTTGCCTTTTTCCCTCTTATGATTCCATACAACATACATTTTATTATCCATGTCTAATCATCTTCTCAATATGAAGATATTACAATACCATGTTATACCTTGACTGCAATAGTCACTTTTCAAAAATCAGCAATTTTATTGGATTGTATGTTAATGTATACAGCCAATATAGCAGAGCCTTACCAAGTCACATAAAATAATGTATTTCCTTTCTGTTTCATATCTTAGAGTTCAGAACGTATATGACATTCTTATGTATTTATCCACGGTGTTCAATGGGTTTCGGTTTTGTATATCTGTATTATTTATGATAATGACTGAATGTGTATTTCAGATTGATTATCTTGACTGTAGATTTATCAATATATCAGACATAGCTAATTTAGATATAAGACTTGAGAGGTAAGCAATTTACAATAGATACATCAAATAGCATACCTTATGAGGGAGATGGGCAGGTGAAAAGACCAGGCGTAGAATGACAAATGGTGTTCTAGAAGGTATGCATGCCACTGCAATAACTGCTCTCAGGATAATGCTGCTACAGAATCATAGATGGAGTCAGAAAGCTAGTTGAAAGACTGATTTATATTTAAAAAGATTTTGTGTATGCATTGGACACTCTCCCTTACCCCCATTTTCCACCATGAAAAGTGATGTTTCAATTTCAGTAGTGGAAGAAGATTATATTATAGTGTGTGTGGTGTTGGATTAGCTTTTGGAGAGATAGTCATACCCTCTACTGAACTTACCTTATGATGAATTGTTAATAAATTTGTTTATCTTTTTATTTTGGTTTGGTTTTCATCTTCATTTTAGACACATGATTGTCTTCAGCCTTGAACATTTCCAAACCCTTACTGTAGTTACAATCAGATGTTAGTTAAGAGTTAAGCTTGTATCATCGTTCAGGGATACCTTTCGGAAGCAAGTTTTCAATCGATCCTGCTAAAAGAAGACACCAATTTCGACTGTCCATTATTTTTCCAACCTTGTTTATACCCTCGTCTAGCCCATCAAATCTGCAGGTGGAATGTCCAGACTCAATATATCACACTACGTTGCATATGCCAACATTTACTTTGATGACACGGCAATAATTCATGTTCGATGTGTGAGAATGCTGTAATTCCACAGAAATTCCATCGGATTATGAAATGACTATTGTGAAAACGAGTTGCTTTGATTATTTTTGCGAAAGTATTATCATAATCTGTTCAGGCTTTTGTGTAACTACACGAACCAGAGACAGAAAAGGGGTGATAAAAATGCCATCAGTCGCTTTTGCTATATAAAAAGACTAGAAAACGTCTTTTGGGAGACACCAAGCAGCACATCATTTGCCATATGTCTGCATTTTATGAAATGATATTGGAAATGAATATTACAACATTAAAGTTTATAATTGATGTTTAACAAAAGCAAAACAATATATACATAATATGATATATAAAATATAGGTTTCACATGCTTAGACTTTGGACATAATCTTGACGAGGGACTTTAGGATTGTTTTTCCAAGATCTTTTTCATGTTCCAATGCGGAAAAAGTTTTTTGTCGATTTTCGTTACCGCAACTTTTTAAAATGGCTTGTATTTCTGCAATTCTGCTAAGAAGACTATACGCAATACCCTTCACCGCTTGGGTTGCAACAGATTGCTTTCCCTGTTCGTAATCCAACATCACAAAACAAAATTCAGCAGCAAAATTTAACTCCACTATGAAATCTACTAAATCAATAAACAGATACCTGACCGTGTTTTTAGTGAATGGTACACACTCTCCACATTTGTCCTTTTTTGAAACCCACCATAACATTTGTGACCGAAGTTTATTGGTCTGTTCTCTGAGAATCTTGATATGCTTTGTGTGTCGTGCCTCACGACAGTCCAGGGCTAGCAAATACAACTCTGTACGATCTTCAGGGGCATCTTTTCGCGGTATATACTTCACTGTTTGTGTATGAGTTCCTATTGTTGGTAATATGTTAAAGCAATTAGCCATACTGTGACTTGCCTTTGATGATAAACATGACCAGCAGAACCATTCTCCACAAACACACATCATATTAGGACATCCTCCATTCTTTACTATAAACCGTTTACATTTGGGACAGTTTTTACCCCTCAGTTGAACATCGTTGGGGATCCAATAAGCATTGACAAATATGTCATCTTTAAAGTCATCTAATTTTTTTCTGTAAAAAGCATAATGCTCGCATGATGCTGGCCAATGACCTTCTTTGTGGCAATCAGTACACACGTTTGTACCGCACTGGCAAACAGAAATGTTACTGGCCCCGTTTGGAAGTTGCAGCATCCTTCCACAAAGTTGATTTGGACACCATTTGATACTAGACGCTGAGGTAGATGTTTCAGCAGCTCTCATTTCCATTCTCTGAATGTCTCTTATATTTGTTAAACTGACCATCGTAGCAAGATCGACTACTTTATCACAATTGTATTCTGGACAAGTGATTTTCTGGAGACCTAGGTTAAAGGATGATTCTAAATGCTCTTTATAACATATATTACAAAACCAATGACCGCATTCTTGCAGGGCTGTTGAAGAGCTTTCTTCGAGAACTTCGTAACATATATTGCAGAATTCGTCTTTTTCTCTAGAAATCCACTCAAACGGTTCGTCTTCGTTACTCAGTTCGTCAGATTGTGTGGCAGTAAAAATTGTTTTGAACTGCACAATGTTGGTGATTTTCATGTACAGTAGTTCCTTTTGGATGAAAGATTCTGGTTGTAGAAATGATTCTATGAACATGAGAGATCTGTTCAAAACATCATCAATGTCGGTCAACATCATGTCAAAAATAGTTTCTAATTTGATGGTATTTCGTTTGGTTGGTATGTTAACTGTTACTTCATAAACATCGTACAAATCATCAAAGCTTCTTACATAGCTAAACACCAGATATGATGTCAAATCAAGCTTTTGAATAACAGTCTTCCTGAATACTGGCGAATGTTTCAATTTTTCTTTGACTTCTTCCTTAATATCAATACAAAATTTTCTAGGGTGGCATTTGGCAAGTTGCACTTTTCCAGGGAATCGAATGTCTAAATATTCATCACTTACGTCTTGTTTTGGTAAAACCACATTTACTGGAACAAAGGTGGCTTTATTCTTGGTAGATGCCGCATTTTCTACGTGAACGAATCCGTCCTCAGATTCGGTATCAGAAACATTTTGGTTGGGAAAGGAATTTTCTTCATAAAAAAGTTTTTGTGTGTTGAAACCATTTTGTTTAGCACTTCGGTTTCGACGTCGTTTACGGGGACATGGAAGGGTTTCTTTAGTAAAAGCTTGGTTAAAATAGTCTGATAAAACACTCGGTTCTTTGATTGTGTCCTCACCTTGATAAACATTTTCTTGATATACTTCATCATCTTCCTCTTCCGAAAATAGATAGTCGTCGACACAAACAGTCCGCTTCTTTGATTTGTTACTTTTAGAATTCGATACAGAGCTACATGGAATCCAGGTTCTGGCATTGCTTTTAACTTTAGCAATAGTGGGCTTTGAATAAACATTTGAGCTACTTGTGTCGGCTGGATAAACAACCTCGTATGACACACTATTTTCTTTATCGTCTGCTACAGGATCACAATTTTGATTATCTCCCTTTAAACGCCGGACGTCTCTTTTTGATTTCTTTTTTCTGTGTGTATTATTGACATTGACAACACTTCTGCTGTTCATATACTTGGTTTTCTTGGGAACTAATTTATTAATTCTTCCTTTGTTAGTAAAATATCCAACACAGTTGTTCACTCGGCGAATATTATGAAGTTCCACTAAAGACACTTTACAGTCCGACTGTTGCAAATTGGAAGCCAATTCATCTTTGATCACTTCAGGTAAATTCCATCGTCCCTTCTTGTTAATGGAATAATTGATGTTACTCGAATCTAAATACTTAGCATCGCCGTTGGAATCTTCAGAGTTGTCATTCATGGTAATAAAGGCATCTCTTTTATACTGTTGAATAAACTTGGAGCTTTTCAGTCTGAGAGTATTGCCAGAGCAAACACCCCCTTTACCCTTCTTTAGCACCATTTTATCAAACTTAAAACGCTTCGAAGGTAGAACGATATACTGTTTTAATTTAATATAGTGTTTTTCTTTACATGCCTATTTATACCAGCTTGCTCAGCATTTTCCTTTAGTGGTGCAAGACTGCGGGTAGTTATAAATAGTATAATGATGTAATCAGTCTCGATTAAATTGTCATTTGAAATGAGTTGACTCGATTGTCAAGATTATAAATGGAAAGCAAATAAAATGTACTGGATAACTAAAACGTGTCTCGAATAGCATGACTTGCAATGACAATAGTACATGTATAAGTAATGCAAATGTCAACACGCATGTATTTTTAGAATACGTCTAAAAGGGTTATTAACACAATATAATTATGTAAAAACGGTCGCCTAACTAATCACCTACTTGTAGTCCGGAACTTTAATTTAGAATCAGATATAAACGGAACGATTTTTATGAATTCGAAGCCTGCTTCAAACTTTACTTAAAATGGGTCCAATCCTGCTGTTTGAAATCCTCAGGCTCAATGTACGCTGATAAAGAAAACCCTTTAAATGTATACCTCCTCTTCTATTAGGATGATCGAAAATTTAATTTTTTTCCCTTAAAACTTGGCCAAAATGAGCCTTTGTTCATCAATGCAGTTTTCACTGATGAATGTATACTCTTGTTGCCCAAGTTTGAGACTTTAAATTTTATATCGATTCTAAATGGTAGTATTCCTTTAAGTTTGGCCATTTGTCCATTCAGATTCATATTAATAGATGGATGAAAGTTCATATTGGTTTTGCTATATTCCAAGTAATGTGCAATATGTCACAAGATATAACATAGCTTTTTATTTGATTGCATCATGTTTATGTTTATAATACTGTCCGTTGCGCAATAATTATACTGATAACAGGTAGTCATACAGTAAATAAATACTCAACTGTAAACTAAATATAATTGCCTCTCAACGGGACTTTTCAAAAATGGTTTTCAAACGCTACAAAGGTGTAATTCGTTCTGGGAACACGTTACGACTCACTAATTGTGGGTATCTGGAGCAATATTCCAAGAATTCTACTATCGAAATGGTTGGATCTAGCTCTCATGCTGAGTGCTTTGATGACCAGGGGATGAAATTTCTGGATTCCTTCAATGTTTGTTATTCTCTGAATAAAAAGCGTCGGTGGAACCTACCAGAAATTATCAAAGGACAACTTGGAAAGAGCTTGGAAAGTTTAGATTGTAGTGTGGTTTTAGTGGAACTACACTGCATAAAAGGATTAAATAACTGTTTGGGATTTTTCAGTAATGAAGGACGCATTCGTCAGTTGATTCCGACCAAAAAGAAATATTTGAATTATGGAAGTGTCATTAATGTGAACAGAACATCGAAACTGACGGATTCATCAAGCGAATGTGGACAAATGACGATGGGAGGTAACCATGACCTAGCAGACGATTCGACAAATAATTTATTGTATAGGGCGGTTTATCCAGCTGATATCAATAGCTCGAATATCTATTCGGATCCTACAATAGCTAAGTATAAAAGCAGGGGCAAACCATGGGTATCACTAAGTGATACGGCATCGAAATCTAAAATTCCTAAATGCAAAAAGCGCATTGTGAATTTGGATGAGCATATTTTGGTTTTAGATGAAGAACAGGAGGATGAGTTGCGCTTCAATACAAGAGTTGCTTCCGATGGCTCATACAAACCAACCGTTTTGGTCTATGATTATTTATGCCACAAATCTAGGACTAGAACGAGTCGGTCCCCAAGGCGAAGACACCGTGGTGCTAAAAGAAAAACATCTATGCCAGTGAAACTTTTCTTTATAGAAGATGGTAATGAGAGTTCGTCTGATGACAATCTCCCTGACGAGGGATTTATCGATGATTGCCCAGAACGTATTGTATCAATGGATTCTGAAAATAATGAAGATACCAATTTTGTTCCCGTGAGAGTTGTCCTACCTAAAGAAGACGTCTCTACTGAACATTTAAATTGTAGATTTCAGGACAAGGTTTCCTTTCCAAAATGTCGTCCAAGAAAATTTTGTATTGATATACAAAATGACGTCATATTGACCTTGAAAAAATCGGTGTTTTTCAAGAAGGTCGTTTGGCAAAAGCTTGACTTGTCTTCATATTTAGTTTTCAGTTTTGTAGGCATCTACGATACTCTTCATGATGTGTATGAGGTCAATATCAATATTCCCAACAAGCAGACGATCGTTCGTATTGATACCATGTACGACATGATGGTCATTGACTTGGAAGACGTTTATTTTCGGACCCTCAAATACATAGAAGGATTTCTTCTACCAGAGACGTTCATCGATAAAGAGAAGCTTCATCTTAAAGCTCGCCTGAGTTTAGAATTCAAAACAATTTTCCCAATCACTGTAAAAGAGACCAACGACCAAGACCTTAATGATGTGATGAACGAACAAAGCAAGAATAATAGTAAACATTTGGTCTCTAATACGAACGAAAACCTCGAAAATCATGAGATGGTTTTAGACGGTGCTGTCAAGTTCTGTGGCATTTGTTTGAAAGGTCTTGCGGATATAGCCGCAACATATTTACAAGAATGTGGTCATTGTTTTTGCAATACATGCTGGAAAGAACATTTACACTTGGAACTGCTTCAGAGAAAAGACAAAATCAATTGTCCAGATTGTGAAGAGGTTGTAGATTATGCATCTATGCTGACCTTAGCAAATATTCATCATATACAATTGTGGAAGATGGAGCAACTTGCTAAAAGATGTGCTTTTGATACCAAATGTCCAAATATTCAATGTGGTCTAACGGTTAGAGCGATTTTAAAACACAATGTTGGTGTTTGTCATTGTGGTGCTGTGGTATGTTTGACTTGTGGTATGGAAGGTCACTGGCCAGCAACGTGTGATCAATATGAACAATATAGTAGAAAGATAGATTCTTCTGGAATGCGTACTAAATCTTATTTTGAGCACAACAAAACACAACCAGGCAAAAATTGTCCAACTTGTCATAAATTTCTGGTCAGTAAATCTCGTTCTCCCTTTATGGTGTGCGCTCATTGTGGGCAAGATTTCTGCTGGTCTTGTTTAACACCTGAGGAAAAACACCCAAATGATAGATATTGGTGCTATAAGATGGAACCAACTGAGGGAACGCACCTACAAATCGTTACAGATATACTTGGAGACTTTACGGTCGGTGACCAATACTACGTACGTGCTGTAAAGAGTCGAAAAATGCGAGATCCAAAACACATTAAATACATGCATAGACTCGTTAGTAGGGCTCGATCAAAGATACTTTGGTGGGATCACAAGAATTCTGTATATCAAAAATTGTTAGTATACAAATTATTCGCTGATATTGTAGATCTTATCGTGGAACTGAATTTTGCTTCTGAATTTTGTTTTGTTATTTTGGAATATGAACGGAGGAGACATACAGAATTGATGTTCGGGGTTCGAGATATAGCTCCACGTTTGCAAACTATATCGTTTGATCTCTATGACATCCTTAGTTCTTTGCATACACAGAATAGACGAAAAACATTGTTCAAACTACAACAATTGAAGAATTCAGGACAGAGCACTCTCGTATCCCTTTTGAATTTGGTTTGCAAACATAGAGCTTGCTAAAATATAATCATCATTTTTGAGTTTTATTATTAGATTTCATCTATATTTATGAAAATACCATGTATGTATATATATATATTTCTGTATTGTTTAGTACTTTAGTACGTAAGTATAAATCAGAGCCAATCAGTCGCGCACAATCCAATCAGATCGCTCAATTCCTTGATACAAGAAAAGTGTCTATTGCAGTCAAGGTGTAAGAAGAAATTCGTTGTGAAGATCATTGATTGGGGGATTGTTGAAACAAGAAACATTGTTTTCAATCACTAAATTGTTTTTCTGAAAATTAAAATTCAGGTTCGAATCCACTAAAAGAGGTTTATTCTACATAGATTAGTTTATTGGCACAGCTTTCAATGGATTAACCCGATCAAGCCATAAATATCTCCTAATCCATATTTTTGAAAGGGATTTGTGGACTATTGACCCCTGTCACCTTGCAGTCTAATACTTGGGATCAAAGGTTCGTCGGAACTTTTGCCAGCAGTATTATTTTGTAATTCAGGATAATGGTTAAAGGGGCATACCATCTAAATAATTGCTTTCCTTGTTCATAAAGCACAATTCAAACTATCCTTAATACACTTATTATAGGCCTAGAGTTGTAAAATTTTATTTATGAATTATAATAAAATGATAATCCAGTCTTATTATGATTAGACCAAACTTTGTTTTAATATTATCCTTTATTTTCAATTTAGCCACTTCAGTTAAGGTCTAACGGCGGTCCTTTTGAACTTTCACCCCATTGATACTGCCAACCATTCAAATTTCCGCTCTCTCCAACACTGAGATTTTGTGACGCGAGCAAAATGTGTATTCCGAGAAGCAATATTTGTCATGCAGACTAACAAAATAGATTGCAGAATTTACAACCACGAAACGAAACTAGTGATCATTCTCTGTTTTGCTATTGACACTCACTGAATTAATGACTTGTATTGCATATCATTCATTTTGGATTTCATTCATTTTGGTCGTTTTCTTGATAACTCAAAATAATGTCCTAAAACATATTATACTGCTTTATGCACTAAAATAAGAACATTCCTGGTGATATGCAATTCAGAACCCACAAAAAGAGACCATTTTAAAAATAGCATAGTATTTATTTACTTTGGAGTCTTCTGAGATTCTTATATTTCTTACAACAATGATAAACATATGTTATGAGGTGAAAACAATTAAATTTATAAGCTCGAAATAGTACAAATATAACTTATGAGGTAAAAACAACAAAGTTATAAGCTCGAAATGGTACAAAATTAACTTATGAAGTGAATATAATGATAGTTATAAGCTCGAAATAGTACAAATATAACTTATGAGGTAAAAACAACGAAGTTATAAACTCGAAATGGTACAACATTAACTTATGAAGTGAATATAATGATAGTTATAAGCTCAAAATAGTAAAAATATAACTTATGAAGTGAATATAATGATAGTTATAAGCTGGAAATGGTACAAATATAACTTATGAAGTGAATATAATGATAGTTATAAGCTCGAAATGGTACAAATATAACTTATGAGGTAAAAACAATGAAGTTATAAGCTCGAAATGGTACAAATAAAACTTATGAGGTGAAAACAATGAAGTTATAAGCTCGAAATGGTACAAATAAAACTTATGAGGTAAAAACAATGAAGTTATAAGCTCGAAATGGTACAAATATAACTTATGAGGTAAAAACAATGAAGTTATAAGCTCGACATGGTACAAATATAACTAATCATGTGAATTTAATGACAGTTATAACTCAAAATAAGCTCGAAATGATCGCACTCGAATGAAAAATGAAATGAGGGTCTCAATTATTTAATCGTACAGATCGAATATTGTTCATTTAGTTAGTTTATTGCACACACACTTTGAGATTCCTGCTCATTAATCACTTTATTATTAATACTTTGATATTCTAGGTACTAATTTGATGTGAACTCCATTTTTTGGCGCTAATATTGGATGCAACTTGGTTTTAATTGGAATCTGGAAAAAATAAGAGGATGTTATATAATATATTATTATTTTACTGAATGATAATTTGTTATCAAAATTTATAATAACAGATAAGATCTTTGAGATGCTATCACTGGCTTAGAATGTCCAATAATTCCTCGTGACAAAGTTTTCCCCGTGGGGATAAATAGTAAAAATAAATGAATTTCCAAAAATAGGGATATAAACAATACCAACTTATAGCAACTTATTTCATTTTACATATATTTTGACGAATTTTCGTTTCCGTTTAAAGTATTTTATGTGTACACTGGGAGCATGAATTTGCACAATTCTAATTTTCAGTCAGACGTCTTCCACTAGAACTAAGTGTTTGATGACGTTACTAATCGAGAAGACCTTATGTGATATCCGCATGTTTTGCGATTAGTTTTAGTTATGCAGGAACCACAGTCTGATTGAAAATTATAATGGTGCAAATTGATGCTATTAGTGTCCCCATACACATTCCCTTTTTTAGAATTCCCTTTAATGAAAGATATCATATCTTACCTCTGTTTCTGATGATGTTTCTATGTGATAATTTCTTAATATCTGAACTACTGTTAATTTACATTTTAATAAACCTAATTTAACACCAACACACATTTTAGGACCAGCACCAAACGGTAACCAAGACATCGGATGTCGCTTTTCACTTTCTTGTTTAGAGAATCTGAAATAACAGAGACAGTGATATTTAATTCAATACATTGAAAAGGCATCCTTTATTGGGAAAACTTCCTAAGCCATTGTGAACTCTTTGCACGTTAAAGATCCATCGATAAATTTAAAAAGAACAGAAACTTCTGAAAAATACATGGTTTCTGCACCTATATTCTTCACAATGCCGTGCCATTACGAACTGCGTCTTATACTTTGACTTCATGAGACCCTTTTCTTGTAACTCGGGATGCAGCAATTTGATAAGATTCTACGCTAGCAAGTACCGCCAATCAGACCCCTCGGCATAGTAAGACTGTAGAAAGTTAGGCTTCAGTAGGTACAATCATATCGCTACATTTACTTACTTGAGTCAAGGAATTAGACATATTTCATAGTATTTTTGAAGATAGGTTTCCTGGAACTTACCTTTCAGGAATAAATTTGTCTGGTTCTGGAAATATTTCTTTGTCTTGGTTCATAACACAGGTCATAATTTTGATTGGCATTCCTTGTTTGAATTGTATACCATCAATAGTGACATCTTCAGTACAATATCTAGCTACCCCCGGGGTTACAGGATAAAACCTTTGTGTCTCATTGAGTACCATATCAAGATAAGGTAAACTGGAGAGCTTGTCCAATGTGATTTCGTCCTTAAAGAAGATTAAAACGGAAATTTATTATGAGGTAAAAAAAAAACAGAAAAGTTCGTAAATACTAAAGCTCGCATATAAGAAACGCCAGAAAATTTGTGGTTAGTAAAAACTTGACCATTGCACGGCATAATGCCGACTCAATTGAAAAGACTAACCAATGTAATTCGATGTCCATCATGTTCCGAATCCAGAATTCCCGAATGGAGTTAAATCCTACAAGATTGGTCATACTTACATCATTCTGAAAAACTTCTTTCATTTCATCCTGGACTTTGTGCTGAATATCTGGATACATAGCCAGACAGTATACCAGGAATGAAGTTACCGCAGCTGCTGCGTCAAGACCTCCAGTAACCATTGATGTTAGTTGTGCCAGCACTTCTTCATTTGACAGATATCTTTTACATGTGTTATTGTTTTCATCTTTACAAGACGCTGTGGTCCTCAACAGTTTTCTGATAATATTTGGTTTTTCATTGGATTCATCGTTAAGTAACTGTAAAACAGATAAGAAGAGATCGTGCCGATAGCAATAGTTAGTATTAAAATAGGTGGGAGTTCGTTGATGCAAAAGACGCTTTTGAGTCTTAGACATCGATAAGATGATGACGTGTGGTTGATAAGATAAAAAAAATTTTTCCAAGATCAGGTTGCAAGTTGTAGACTTACTCTGTTAGAAATCTTGTTTGACGATGTGGCTATATTGTTGAAACTCATGTAAAAGGGATTGAAAGAGGTCTTATAAATATTTTATGTGTAGATCTATGGGGGACACTGATAGCATTAAGTTGCACCATTCCAGTTTTCAATCAGACGTCTGTGATTCACTAAAACTAAGTGTATATGACGTCACTAATTGCAAATACCTGGGCAATATTTTGCAATTAGTGATTAGATGCTATTTTTTTTTATCTTGTAGATGTGATTAGATGCTATTAGTGTCTCCGATACACACTAAAATTAAGAGAACCCCATTTCAATCCCTTTAATTATTGAATAATCAGAAAAGTTAAATTGCATACCTCTGTACGTTCTTTTTCCACTAACTGGGTTAATTGCTTAAGTTGTGTTTCGTGAGCATCTCGGAATTTACCACCAGCAAGATATTGACATAATGGTGTGAGCGCTGGAAACAATCCTGAAAATAAAGAGAATTTTTTAAATTGTATATATGAATTTGCGAGATCAATCTTTTAAAAAAACCGTGCACAACCAATGTTTTTGGGGTTGAAAAAGTGGACATAAACAAAAATAAATGACTTTTACCGATGTGAATTCTGACATAGAAATTCAAATCCAAGGTCATATCTCTGAAGAAATCGTGAGATGGGTTTTGTGTCAAGTGTCGAGTGTCAATATTTTCTATAACGATTTGTCTTAAAAAACATACGTTAGGTATCAAACTGGGAGGAGTTGTTTGTGTTCGTGTGAATATGTCATAAATACTAAATCATTAAACACTAATAATTCTATTTCCTTCTGTTAATAAACATGGAAAAGGCATCTAGCATAGTCGTTTAGGTAAACAAAGATCCCACGTCTTACAGGCAGTGCAAGTTAAAGATCCGTCGACAGTTGAAAATAGAACTCCTGCTCTGAAAAATTGCCCACATGACACACTGCATGGAGTTTGATGTTGATTAACTCAATCAGGAACAGACAGGTATAGGGCGTGAAATTAGCCCAATTCTGTTAAAAAGAGTTTCAATGGGAATGCAATATTTTATACTTACTAGCAATACCAGGTACAGGGTTTTCAGTGTTAGCAACTTTACTGAATTCCACCATATATTTATACATGATCTCTTCGGTATTATTCAAACTGTCACTGTCGTAATCAAAGGCAGAGTAGGCGAATATATCTAGCATATGTCTATCCAGTAATTCTGCGATCTCAAAACCATCAGGCGAGGCGGTTGATTCCTTGCCGAGTTTTTCAACAAGGTTGTTTGATTTGAAAATCATCTTTTGGATCATCTGAAACAATTGGAAAATGAACATTTTCATTCCCTTTTGGCATTGATTTCTGGTGTCCACATGACAGACAGACTCTTACAAACCGAAGAAACAACAGTAGTAAAGTGTTTCCTCACAGGCGATCCGAAAGTCGATATTCTACTGATTGAATACAAGTCTGAAATATTTGACCAATTGTCCAGTGGTTTTAATCCGCCCATGACAGATGGAAATCAAAATGAGAGTTGCAAATTAGAATTTATGTCCTGACAATTTTTCTTCGTTTTCATCAACTCCCAAAGCAAATCTATTTTTGTATTTCAGATGGTGGCCTTAACTGTTTCTATATCGTCATGGTATGCATTTTCCCCTTTAATGGGGTGATAAGATGTTATCAATCGGTTTTATGAAGTGTTTGAACATAAGTGGTACGTTACCTGATTCATGGATGTTGTATTGAAACAGGTAGCTACAACATGTCTTTGCTGTTTCCATAATTCACCGTGAGTATTTAATATACCCAATTCTTCATACCTGTTCTGGAACGGTGTACATAGCTACAAGATATAATATTTCAATTTAAAGGGGTTTTGTAAAATGTTTTATGTGTATCGAGGACACTGAAAGCATCAGTTTACACCATCCCAATTTTATGTCAGATTTATAAGCATATTTTCACTATTAGTGACGTCATCAAACACTTAATTTGAGTGGAATTCTAAGAATCACAAATGTTTGTTTGAAAATTGAAATGGTGCAAATTGATGCTATCAATGTCAACGATACACATACGAACTTAGGAATCCCTTTAAAGGCTAAATATACTTCAGAATATGTAACATTCAAATGACTTCATTATGGCAAAATTCATTGCGTACGTGCTTTTAAGTTGTCGTCATTTGTTTTACCTGTCTCTCATGCAGGGATCAACTCATGCGACAAATTAAACTAGACCTATACAATGTGAAATATGATGGAATATAAAATCATTTAGATCTCGAATCATCTACCGCCATCAGTTTTAGCATACACTGATATTCTGCTCACGAAATGACTAATACAAACTATAACTGAGAATAACTTTCCTTGTTTCGTTTCCTGATAACGTTGTTATTCCAAATATCCAAGAGATTTCCGAATGCTATCTTATCTGGGTATCTAAATGTATGCACACTATGATAAAATGTTTAAAGGAAAACTGATAATAGTTTTAATTGTTAGTATACTTACTGGTCTGCTCTGAAATTTGTCAAATTGTTTGACCAAAATTTGTTGAATAAGTACAGGATCACATACTACAATACTGGGCCGCAAACCTTCATAAAATCTGAAATTAAAACAATAAATTAAATTAGATTAATAAATTAAAACGATTTTAAAGAGGTGTTTTAATTCTATGTGTATCGAGGACACTGTTAGCGTCTATTTGCGTTTAGTGGAATTGCAAGATTCACAGACGTCTGATTGAAAATTGAAATGGTGCAAATAGATGCTAAAAGTGTTCCCGATACACATGATTTTTCTTTTTAAACATAATGCACAATACATTAAATGAAAAATGATGAACATTTATTAGAATGAAATCTAAGATATGTTGTTACTGAAGGCTTCGCACTATCGAACATCGTGATGTGACATACTGGTCTCACTCTGATTGTACTAAAAAATTATTACATGTATAATTTTTCGAATTACATCTGTCGATATGTTGAAGTGAATGGAAACGTACAGTTGTGAGTAACATCATGTTTTATTTTAATTTGTGAAATTTTAAAATTACGATATGGGAAAATATTGAAGGCATACTATCTGATACTAGTAAAAAAAATATGAATGAATGAATGAATGAAAATAGAATTGACAAGCAAGGTATCTAAACTTTTTTTGAAAACAGAGTCGCACAGAGTCATAGAGTGGAACAGATTTATATATCATATTCTTTAAAATTAACATTGTAAAACTTTCTACAATTCTTTGCTAGTACGAATGTGAAATAGCATTGTTATTTCTGTAACATTGAAAAGGTACGTACCCAAAAACTTTGCCATATACGTTTCTCCATGCTTTAAATACATCAAGTGGACACTGAAAATAAAAAATTAAATTGTATAGTTTTCCACATTCGTTCTTATTTTTGGTGCGAAATTAAGTTTATTTTCGTTGAAAAATATAATTTTCGCATTTAAATTCGTTTTAAAATATAATTTTTACATTTGAATTCATTTGAAAATATAATTTTTACATTTGAATTCATTTGAAAATATAATTTTTACATTTGATTTCATTTGAAAATATCATTTTTGCATTTAATGAAATTTCTTGTGGAAATATGATTTTAATTTAGCTGCATGTGCTACCTTTTTTAATTAATTTAATTAAACAACAATAGCGTTAGAATTAGAATAATAAATTGAATTAGTTTAAAACGTATAGAATAAATAACGTATTTAGTTTTAGAATTTTTGTGTAATGATTTGAAATATTCCATAATAATTTGCTTACTTTGTCTTTAAATTCACCAACATTTCCAAATAAAGGTACAGGCTTAGGGTGGTTTATATTAAGTTCATCTAATAATCGGTATTTGGATTTCAATTTCCTGAAGAAAATAAATACCAATGAAATTCATAATTAATTGTTATTTAGCTGAAAAAAAAAGTCATTAAATACTCTTGCAAATCACTTGCAAAAAAAAAAAAATAATAATAAAAAATAAGGAAAATTTTCAAACTTACCTATACAGAATAACTGCGGCAATCGAAAGTACAATTAAGAATAACATTTTCAATCTGGATATATTGATTTTGAAACGAACGAAAGCAACCGAAAATGTAATAATTGAATTAGTATTTGCTCTGATCGGGGTATATATAGAATATTTAAATAAGATCCCGCCCACATTTTAATTTCTGTCCAATTAAAGTCGAATTATGTTGTGTTATAAACCTCTCGAAATTGTGTTATCAATTCTGACTAAAAGTACATCTTGATTTTATTCGGACAAGTTTTTGTAAGAGGTTATAAATCTGGGATGACTTATCAAAATGAGGCCATTAGCCTTGGCGTGTAGTTTTGTTTTGCAAAAACAAGTTCCTAATTTCTTCATGCCTCTGAAGTATGCAGATGTTGAACGCTAGCGCAAATAGTATTCTTTAAAGGGACAGATGCGCCATTTTTTTGACCAATCATACTTATGTTTCAGAAACTGGAATTCTTTAGCTGAACTAATCAGTAATAGTGTTCACAGCTCACCGTTAAAATTTTAGCCTTCAAATCCATGTGTGTCCAGAATTATCTGCGTTTGAATGTTAAAATGACGACTCGTCAATTTAAGATACTCTGTGGTATAGAGAAAAGACATATAGCAATAGTGAGTAAAATTTTTTGTTTGAACATGGAAGATTATTTACGTATATTCAAGATTAAAACCAACTCCCCAAAATGGCGCATCTCTCTCTTTTAAATTGTATCTTATTGTATAATATAGTTTGAATAAAACATAGTCTGAATCTGATTTTCATCTAAGGTTTCTAATTATGCGTCAGGAAGTCATATTTTTGCTAGTGAAAGAATTATCATATTGGCAAGTCTGTGGAAGTGAATAATTTTGACTTGAAGCCTTCACGTTATCAATATCATTTAACCAATCTGATGATTTGTTCGCAAACGGTTTTGTGGAATTCTAGTGAGAATGACATATTTTTGTTATCTACTTTATATCAGTCTAGTGCTCTGTTGTATCGCAACAATGATTTTACAAATTAGTAATTATAAAGTGCGGGGGACGATTCTAGTTGGTTCTACGGTGTGTCGCACATGAAGAGGCAATAGAAACTATACCTACCAACCTAATTTTAATCAGCTCATTACTTAAATCGACCTGGGGATTCAGAGACACCGCTGAAGCTATCTAAAAAGCTTCACAGGCAAGTTTTTAAGTGTTAATCTAACCAAACTCAACCAACGACTACCATTCGACTTCCAATCAACAAGAATTACGATGATCACAACGAGTTTGGAAGAATGAAGAAGAAAGAAGCTAACGGAATACCGCTTAGGGCCGAGTTTCAACTACATGGCGTTCGACCTTACCCTATCTTACGAACTATCAACTACCAAACCAACAGCACAGAATCATCCACTTCAACCAACTACTACGACTATCAACAACTACCAAGTTTGCAATATCAGCATCCGCTAGAAGCAAACGTTAACTTGTCAACCAACCAACCAACTAGTAGTGTAAATGACTCTATAAGCTTAAATTGGAAGTCAATGATTTGCTGTTATTTTTCTATTGTCTTTAATCTTCAATAAGATCTTTAACTTTAAAATGCATCAACTCCCAGATTCTGATATAAAAGTTTGGTTATTCTGAAATTTTGAAAAAGGTGTAGAAAAATGAGAAATCCACTTTAATATAATTATACTAGTTAGGTAAAGTGTGTGCTGACATATTTTTGCTGTGTACTTTAAGAACAAGTTTAACCTTTATTGAAGTTTCGGAAAAACATTTTCGTCAAGTGCCAACAGACAAATTTCACAATAACAATGATTGGTTTATGGAAATCCTTTAGAAAATTATAAATAACATCTAAATTCCATTTGAAAAAACATCCCCAAGTCAAATCGTGGAGTCCGTTTCTTTATTTAAGTATTTAAGTATACAATCGTGCACTTCGAATCACGTGTGTTTATGTATAATTTCGCAATTTGATAAAGATACATTCATTATGTACTTTAAAACTTTGGGAAACCGGCCCCAGGTCTTAACATCTTCTCTGTAACATTTTAACTTGAACCCATTGCTCAACTCCGTGTTCACTACTGTGACTTGGCTATATGGCTATAAATAGATATCTGTGACGATCTCGCGTGATTTAATTGGAACATCATGACCATATAGCAGACTTATTATAATAATAAATTCTTTTGATTATGACATGATCATGTTTTTGACCTTATTAATACGCCTACTACTACTATCACAAAACAATCTTCACAACGTCAAGCTGTTACGAGCTCCGTCTTATACATTGACTGTATTAATCACCCTTTTTGAATCACATTAATTTGAATGGATTATACGATTGAATACAGCCAATCAGAGGTCGCGACAAAAATTGTAGACAGCCTTTCTGTCGAAGGTCCTGATGGGCTGTATTCCCTTGTGTTCATTCGAATTAAATCGCTGTAATCCGTGATACAAGAATGATGACGGTTACAGTCAAGGTATGAGAGGAAATTCGTGATAGCTTGATATATTGTGAATAACTTCGATGCTCCAGTTTCTACAAAAAATCTCACGCCCCTAAAGTATCCTGTGAGTCATCTAGTCACTTATCTGTTTTCGTTTTGAGAATATCCCCCTTTGAATTTCATTTATGAGGAATAAAAACACTGGCGGAGCCCAGGGGGGGGGCAGAGGGTCAGCCGCCCCCTCGCAGCCCCGAAAGCAAGTTTTTTGGGCAACTAGGTTAGAAATTCGAGCAATCCCAGACAGTTCGCCCCCCCCCCCTCCTCCTCGGACGTAAACCTGGCTCCGCCACTGGATTAAAATTCGTACAAGCAAGACAATTCCGTGAATCAAAACCATCAGGTGTTCCGAAATGAGTAATCATTGTCTGCTTCGCGCGCGACACCCGCCACTATTATATAGGTCAACATCATGAGATACAATAAGATTTTATTATTAATTATGCGTTACCAAACAAATCAGCCAAGATGCAAGAAAAAACATTTGTAATATTTGTCCAGAAAATCGCAATAACGAATATAAAATTTACTAAATGAAGTTTGAAGTCAAAAGCCAAAACCCGACATCTGGCTAGAAAGTCATAATACATCGAACAAGCGGATGAGTTGTGAGATTTGATTTGATTTTGTCGTTTTAGAAACCTCTTATACAGTATAAAGTATATTTAAGAATAAAATTTAGAATCTGTTAGTAATGAATATTATGATCTATATAGAAATATATCTGATCATTTTCAGACATGATGAACTTTTTCATTGATTTGACAATGTTTACAATGGTTTATATTTCACAGTCAATTAATAATGATCAATAGCGGCTACAGGAGGGGGGGGGGGGGCACTTCATTTTTAACAAATTTACAGAAATGTGTGTCAGAAACCGCAAGTCTTAACAGGCTGGCGCCGCCACTTATTGGGATCTAGGTGAACACGCGTCTTGTAGAAGACTATTATCATTTGATTGACAGTTTTGTGGTTTAAATCCCACCCACAATGACAAAGTTCACAGTGTTTGCTCTTTATATAATAAGTAAACCATTGCAGAAAAAACGTGGCAGTATATCGTCTAGTTATAAGATCTGTAATCTATCCGTATCAACCAATAAGTAATCTCGATTTGATAAAATTCTATATATAGTAACAAGTTATCAAAAATATAGATATTGTAGATATAAAAGGATGAAAAATATCTTTGATAATTATAATGAAGCTAAAATTAACTGATAAAATCTATTTTTAGAAAGCCAGATTAGATAAGGATTGGTTTATTAATTGTTGTCTGATTCAAGTTAGATAAAGCCCTATACTGACAATAACCTTTGATTACCGGTACGGAGTACAATTAATAGTACATCATATCAACCAGTAACCATATTCATTCATTCATTCATTTAATAATTAATTCAATAATCAATTCATTCATTCGTTTATTTTTTCTGTCGCTCGCTCGTTCGTTCATTATTCATTCATAAGTCTATATCATCAACATTGTCTGTTGGTATCTATAATGAAAGATTATTGTCTAATGGTGTCCATTCGGAAAAATCATTGTCCATTTACATATTTTACGTATTTAAATAATTGAACATGATGTCCATTTTGGAAATATCATTGTAGGCTAAACTTATACGGGAGCGTATTAGGGCCATTCATTTTTTTTTTTGGAGGGGGGGGGGAATTTTCAAGTTAGTATGTTGAATTTTCAAATTAGTATGTTGAATTTTCAAGTTAGTATGTTGAATTTTCAAGCTAGTATGTTGAATTTTCAAGTTAGTAACATGAATTTTCAAGTTAGTATCTTGAATTTTCAAGCTAGTATCTTGAATTTTCAAGCTAGTATGTTGAATTTTCAAGTTAGTATGTTGAATTTTCAAGTTAGTATGTTGAATTTTCAAGTTAGTATGTTGAATTTTCAAGTTCGTATGTTGAATTTTCAAGTTAGTATGTTGAATTTTCAAGCTAGTATGTTGAATTTTCAAGTTAGTAACATGAATTTTCAAGTTAGTATCTTGAATTTTCAAGCTAGTATCTTGAATTTTCAAGCTAGTATGTTGAATTTTCAAGTTAGTATGTTGAATTTAGTAACTTGAATTTTCAATCGATCAAGACGAGATGAATCATAATATTTAATCATTCTAGTTGATTGTATTAACCCAGAAATGTCATCAGCTTCTAAATCAAATTAAATGTTCTAATTAATAAAAAGATTTCGATTCATTTAAATGAAAGGCATTAACTAGAAAGTTTTTTAATATGAAAAACTCTGCGATTACATCATATTTTAATGAACTGCAAACAGCTCCGAGTGTGGCACAAGACCTTAATACACTTACGTTTGTAGTATAATCCAAGTATACATAATTATACTTGAGAAAGGTAACCTCAAAATTAAAAAAAATGTAAAGAAAAATGGAGAAGGTGAAAATTTCAAAACATTTTTATTAGTAATAAACTCTTTAAACACTTGTAAAATACCTGAACACCAGATATTAACAAAATATCAGATTTTTCCAAATTTAATTACTTTAAATGCTGTGTTAAGCATCCATATTACATATCATTAAAAATAAGATAAGGGGTATAGGCCACTAGAAGATCGAACTTCTGCCGAAAAAATGCAATATCTTAAATAATATGTTTAAGCTGTTGTCCTATAAAAAGTATTGGGAGCAGTGTGAACCGACGTGATTTTGAGGAACAAAAGTCTAAACCGGAAGTGGATAAAAAAAATTAATGACGCGGGTTTTTTATTTTTTGGTTTTTTTTTTTTTGTATTTGCAGTCTATATCTTCAAAATTTCAAAAAGATCCAATAATGAGTATGAGCCAAAAAGTTCAATTCTTGGGTTTTTTCTTAATATTTACTAAATTCTGAAATTTTTCAGTTTTTTGACGAAGACAGTCAACCATTCTGGAGGTTTTAAAAACAAAATAATAAATGTGGTTATACAAGATCTCCTAATAATGATATTATGGAGACCTTGGGATAATAATCTTTCCATTTTGGACATCAACAGCCAATAATCTCTCCATTATGGACATCAACAGACAATAACATTTCCATTATGGAAAAATCAGAAGGTATATCGACCTATATGCCGGGATTGAACCCTGGACCTTCAGGTTAGCAACTCATTGGGCCATCGCGGCTGTATCAATTCGAGATACTGTAATTCAAAGCACGGGGTACAAACAGGAGGCCTATCTCTGAAACCAAGAGAATATCTCCTTATAGTATTTCAGGAAGGGGTTGAAAGAAATGAGTTTTAGGCAGTAAATTAGAATTTAATTATAAAGGGACACGAAGTAACATAACATAGGAAGGAAGAGAAAAGGGATGTAGGACAGTGGGAAGTGGAGTGGACATTAACCATCAGGTCTATTTGAAATGACAGTAGGCAGAGAGAGAATCGTAGACAAGAGAGAATGGGGTGGAGGGTTGGTTTCAAAGAAGAGTACAAAATGTAGGATGAGGACGGGATTAGTGCAATTTAGCATAAAATTTCAAGTGGGCCAACAACTACGGTTTGGCCAGCCTAAAGATTTCAGCATTAGAAAACATCAATTTGATAAGAAATTGTTTACTTCTGGGGAGATTTAAAAGATAAGCAAACATTCAAATATGCAAAGTATTTGCTTCAGGTAGACCTACACGAGGGGTATAGGTATAAAATATTTAGCTGTAGTTTGAATATATTCTAGAAGAGTTGTCTTTTCCTAGACCGGAAGTAGAGTTTAACCGCGATTTCAAGAAAAATATTATTGTTTTTATTTTTTTATGTGTGTATGAACTTTGAAAGAAATATTTGGAATAATTACGCAGAGAAAAATGCCACGCCGAAAGGTAAGGATAGAAAATGAATCAATCTGTCCATGAAATTGTTAGAATGGGTAACTTGTCGCCGCTATCCAGAAGAAAGGTTGAAATGGTGTCCGTGATTTGCAAACTGTTGGTTAGTGTATTGTTGATTTCTTGTAGTTCTGTTTTGCTAATTACGTTGTATTTTGCAGAGAAAGTTAACAGACACCACAGCTTCAGAAGATGAAGAAGTTAGTGACAATAAGGATAGTAAGAAAGAAGAAAATGAAGAAGAAAACAAGATTGTTAGAGTGACCAGACGGTCATATCACACAGGTTGGTTTTCTTTAAAACACTCTTTTCTTTCTTTAATTCATGTTTTGCACATGGCATGCACATGTCTGGGATTGCATTGTTAATCAAATATGATAATTTGCTTTAAAGTATACCAATGAATTTTCATAGATACAGAATGTCCAATTTTCAAAGCATTGACTTTTGTAAAGATCTGATTGAAGTTTTGATCAGTCGTTTCAGCTCAAAACTAATATAGTGCACGTTGCCTGAGAGTTGATGGATTGGTATAATGTCAGATCAAATAAACAATATTTTTATCCCATTGATATGTATTTAATCTGTAACATTTTTTTTTTTTACAGCTCCTTCTCCAACAAGATCTCCACAAAAACGAAAATCAGAAGCCCGTTCTTCTCACTCAGATTCTGACACTGATCACTCAGTGAAGGAAGTTCCTGAGAAAAAGAGTAAGAAGGACACCACTCCTCAGAAGGCAACTCCATTGAAATCATCTCCACAGAAGAAAACTCCTAAGTCATCATCCAAGAAAAAATCAAAAAGTAAAGGCAAGTCCAAGGGAAAGTCTAGTAGTAAAAATGTTGAGAAAGATGAAGGCCAAGACTCTGGTGATTTACAAGATCTGCTGGTGGAGAAAAGATCACTACCAACTACTAATTATGATGAGTCTTCTGCTAGATGTCCTTTACCAGGGTGTGATTCAAAAGGTAACTTTAATCAAATAAGCTTATGCAAGTTACTATCAATAGCATAAACTGTCATAAACTATTGTTATAAATTGAAGAGCTTTTTATTGGGTACTGGTACACTTTTCTTCAATAAGACTTCATCAGTCTGTGGCATTCTTGAACATTCATTACTGAACATAAACCAAATTTTATTAGATGTTGGAGACTACCCTTGCTATTAATGGAAGCAATGAACATTGTGTATTGACAGCTATCCAATCAAATTTGCTTTTATTGGGTTTGAGTGAATACAATTTTCAAAACTTTGCTTTCCTTTTGTACCTCAGGTCATCTTAGTGGTCGACATGAAAGTCATAGAACATTAACATCATGTCCTCTATATCATAATACAACAGCAGATGAATGTAAGGTTAGTAAAACTAAGCATCAGCTAAACACTCATATTTTAGGTCCCTTGACAGTTGGAAATCGAAAAAAACCAGGCTTTGGCGCTGTCCTGGCAAAAAATTTCCCTCGTTGCACCTGTATGGCGTTGCTCGTCTTCATCACATGGTGCAGAAAATTAGGGTGTATAAAAACTAAATCTTAAATATCAAAAATCAGTAATGCAAGATAATGCAATTTGACTCTGATAAAGAATTTACTATTTGTCTGGTACTACTTCAGCCAGTTATTATTTTGTATATAGTTACCAAGACCAAATTTTTTTCTGTTTTTAGTCTCTTTGGTCAGATGGAAATATAAATGAAAGCTCTTTTTATTTAGTTGCTGATATCTTTTTACTGTTTTTTTTTCAGTGGCGTTTTGACAGTCGACAAAATAAAATGGAAGATAGAAAGAAAATTGTGGCTGTTTTAAATGAACGCAGGGATATGAGAAGACCAGTATGTATTTATTGTGATACATTAACCCATGAGACATCTTTAAGATGAAATTGATTCATTGCCAATCAGTAGATTTTATTTTGCTATTTGTATTTTTTAAATGGTTTGATTTAAAAGTCAATACATGATAAGTTGTACTGATGAATCAAGTTTTAAGTAACTGATTGAGTTTAGCAAATTCTTTAACAAATTAAATTAATTTGTTGTGTCATTTATTGTAGGTACAAAATGAAGAACAAAAGTCGAGATTAGATAAAGTAAGATCATTAAGACGTAAACAACCAGAATTAACAGAAGAAATCAAAGAAACTCACAGGAATCATAAACAAAAACATGGAGCTAGTAGAGAACCATTGATGAATGGATTAGCTTCAGAATATGATTTAGAATTATTTAGAGAAGCCCAGGCTAAGGCTAGTGAAAGACTGGTAAGTCAAGACAAATATTATCTAGGAAAGACACCCATGATAAACTTACTGGAAAATATTTCACTTAGTGGTTTTGACATCTTTGTTGCTAAATGATTTGTTCAGATGTCACTATTGCAAAATGATTTGGTCAGATGTCACTATTGCAAAAGGATTTGGTCAGATGTCACTATTGCAAAATGATTTGGTCAGATGCCACTACTGCAAAAGGATTTGGTCAGATGTCACTATTGCAAAATGATTTGGTCAGATGTCACTACTGCAAAATGATTTGGTCAGATGTCACTAATGCAAAATGATTTGGTCAGATGTCACTACTGCAAAATGATTTGGTCAGATGTCACTACTGCAAAATGATTTGGTCAGATGTCACTATTGCAAAATGATATCTTAGGGCCTTTGCAATAGTGATGTCATGAAAGGCTAAGATGCATTGCAACAACCACATATATCTGATTGAAAATTGAGTGCAAATGGTGCAAACTGATTCAAGTATCCACAATAAAATCTCATTACAATGTTATTTATGTATTGACATAGTCAAATTGACTGATATTTTTGGGCAAAATTGAGTTATTGTTTATATGCCCTATTTTTCTCAACATAGAAAAGTTTTTTTATCTTTTTTTACTGTCTTCTTTAGCTCAATTTGTAGCATAAAATGCTATTTCCTTTCACATCATTTTCACTTCTGGAATATTTTGTTTGTAGGAACATGAAATGACCCAGCACTATCAGAAGTCTGATTTACAGGAATATAGAATAAAGAAACTAGAGATTGGTAGATGGGAGGTAGAAACATGGTATTCTTCACCCTATCCTGATGAATACGCTCGTCTCTCTAAACTATATCTCTGTGAATTCTGTTTAAAATATATGAGAACCTCTACTATATTGAGGAGGCATATGGTAAGCTTGCTCATATTTTATAAATATTCTTTCAGTTTTATAATAAACAAATTCAAGGGACAGATTCACCATTTTGGAGGGTTGATTTGGGTATTAAATAAATAGTCTGCAGTCATTTTAACCTTCAAATGCAGTTCATTTTAAGGCTCAAAAATTGACTGTGAACACCTTTACTGATCAACTTTGATAAAAATTTGCGTTTCTTAAACTAAATATGATTAGCCCTTTAAAATGAGAGTGTATATAAAGACATTGTGTAAAAGCGATTCTGTACAGGTCAACAAGTTGATTGTTATCTGATTCTCTATCAACAAAACAAGTTCAAGAAATTATACCAAAGTCTTCATTCTCAACCTGCTCATTGAATTACAAAAACAAAGAAAGTAGAAATTTTACATATACTTTGTAAATTTGGGCTGAAGCCATACGTTGTGCTTGTTACAATATCATTAAACAGTGTGAAATTGAAAAAAAGAAGGTTTATACAGCTGTTTTCCTCACTTTAATCTGCTTTAAGATCAATCAAGATTATGAAAATTAATTTCAGGCTAAATGTGTATGGAGACATCCTCCTGGTGATGAAATCTATAGAAAAAATAACATCTCAGTTTTTGAAGTTGATGGAAAGAAAAACAAAGTGAGTGAATATTTAGTTATAATTATTATATTGATAATAGACTCATTTGATAAGCTTAAGTAGATATTGTTAATGAGATTGAATTGTAGTCTAGTTATTGTGTTTGTTTAGTTGCTCTATAACAGCACTAACTCTTTTCTAAATGAACCCTGGTTTAGTTTTAATGTGGACTGAAGCCACACTGTAGAACTAGAGTTACCTCCCATCATACACAATGTACAATGATTGGGGAGTTCTGCATATTCAAAATTCATGGAATCAACTAGAGATAAGTTAGAACAGAGTTCATGTGCGCAAAAAAAGTAGGTGCAGAATTCAAAATAGTGGTAAAAGAAAAAAATAACAAATGGAAGCTGTTCAGAACTCTCCAATTGACTGTCACCATTATCTTATTTATTTAGGATGTCTGTAATGTTCTGGTATAGAGTTGTTAAAATAAAAAGGTTTCTAAGCATTTTTCTAATATGCTTCTTCTTATTCTAATAATAATGTTATGATTTTTCATTGTGTTTTATTATGATTTTTCATCAAGTTAGGATTTTTTATAATGTTTTTTCATCAAGTTATGTTTTTATACAGTCAAGTAACCTAATTTCGTGGAAACCTATTTTTCGTGGATTTCCAGAAAGGATTAATAATTTACATGTGCGACCTCACGTGACCTCCGCATTTGCTTGTTTTGGTAAACGTGGGTTTTCTGTACAATATCAGCTAGTAGAATGAATCCAGTAGTTTCAAGCAAGGTAAAATGTATTAATGTATACTTTGACAAACACAAAATGGCGGATTTCAGTTATTACCAAACGTCACCATTTTTTATCGGTCGAATTTCCTTACAATCCCAAGCGTTAATCAGAATTCCAAGTGTCGTCTGCTAGAATGTAGTCCAACGAATGAAGTCACGTGATCAACTAGCGGATTCCGTGTCAGCAGAAAATTTCTATGGAACACAAAGTGGACCATATTCTTATGTTGTTTCAATGACTTTTAGCAATAAATCACGCTATGTATCATATTTTGTCAGTCACTATTTTTTTTTAAATCGTGGTTCTTTGAAGGAATTGTCACTAGTTATAATGAATTGATATTAAAGATGAATACTAAGAGAAGTTAATTATACCACCTGGTATCCATACAACATGTTTTTCTAGACTTATTTATAGATCAAACATTGTACACGAAAATAGGTGACGCATTCTTCCGCCGTTGCTGAGTTGGTTGCTCATGAAATATGGGTCAAAGTGAAGGATTCAAGGAAATCGAATTAAACCAATTTTAATTATTTTGTAGAATATCTGAGGAAACATCTAAGACATAAAAAAAAAAATTCGTTTTTTTTAACTTTGATGAAATCCTTATATCCACGAAAATAGGTTACACCACTGTATATATTTTATATTAATATCATATTTAATCACTTTATGAACTATGTTATTTTTTTCAGGTGTATTGTCAGAATCTCTGTTTATTAGCTAAATTATTCCTTGATCATAAAACATTATATTTCGATGTGGAACCGTTTTTATTTTATGTTATGACTGAAAATGAATCCAGTGGATGTCATATTGTTGGTTATTTCTCCAAGGTAAGTTATTTTAATTGATCTACATATGATTTATGTATGGTATAATATCTATTTGATCATAGATTTAAATATACTATTTATTAACTTTTATTATGATGTAAACCACAATTAAATTAGCCTGTAATTGGTCATTATTTGCCGATTCCATATACCCGCTGTAACCAATTTGCTCATCAATGAAAATGTTTGGTGCTCCACCATTAACTTAGTATTCTGATTAAGGAAAACTTGATCGTGTCAATAGGGCTTGAGAAAATTATAGAAAAAAAGAAATTAATTGAGGTCTTTTGTTGTTATTTAATTCACAGTGACAGTGATATTTATAGACCAAAATAAACCTACATGAAAGACAACACCATTTATCTAATAATATAAAGGCCGACCTTCTGACCATATTGCACTGAATGTAACAGTACTAGGTCAGAAAATCAATTCTGAAATCATATCTTTCCATTACACCAATGTCATAGAGTAGTTCTTATTTAATAAATTGTTCTTAAGAAACCTTGCTGGTGCCAGTTAATTATTTGACAAAAATAGAAAATGTATAATAAGAACAATCATTGAACAATAGAAACTGGTTATTTCATCTACAATGTAGGTATATGACAATTTGTAATGATCAATTTAGTTCAAACAGCTAACAAGTTTTTGAACAGCATATTTGTACAAATAGCTTTTCAGTTTAAGCCAAAGCATTTAAATTTGATCTTAAGATAAAAGTGATAAAGCAGGCTAATTACTTGAATTAATTATTTGAACTATTTGTATTACAATTTCAAGGAAATGTTTCAAATGAAGTTAATAAAGTAATCTCTCTACATAGCATTTTTTTCTTATTTTTCAATTTATGCTTTTATAGATTTAAAAACTTCTTTTGTGCTGTTAAAATTCATGATTTGTGATAACAACTTTCTTTTTTAACCTTAAAGGGATAGATTTGCCATTTGGGTCTTCAAAAATACCTAGGAATTTCACTTACGATTTCTTTAGATGTCTTTTCTAAACAAGACAGAGTCCAAAGGAAAGACAAGTCATCATTTTAACTTTCAAACGCATATAACACACAATTTGAAGTATCAACATTTCCTGTTTCTGAGACTAAGGTAGGATTGGTACAAAAATGGCAAACCTGTCCCTTTAATGTCAAAGAATGAAACATCAAACTAAATTCCTATTATTTGTTTTTGTATTACAGGAGAAGAATTCGTTTTTAAATTATAATGTATCCTGTATATTAACTCTACCCCAATATATGAGACAAGGTTTTGGTAAAATGTTAATAGATTTTAGTAAGTATTTAGTAATGTGTCTTATCTATCTGAGTGTATGAAATGTCTGTCTGAGTTTATGAATTGTCTATCTGTGTGTATTAATTGTTTTAATTGGAGGATTTGTATTTCTGAGTGTATAAATTGTCTTTCTGAGTGCATGAATTGTCTATCTGCGTATTTTGATTGAAGGAAATGTATTTCTGAGTGTATAAATTGTCTTTCTGGTGTATTAATTGTCTTTCTCAGTGTATGAATTGTCTATATATCTTAGTACTGTCTAAGTATATAAATTGCCTGGGTGTATTAATTGTCTATAGATCTTAGTACTATCTAGCTGAGTGTATGAATTGTCTGAATGCATCAATTATCTATTTGAGTATATAAATTGTCTGAGTAGTTGAATTGTCTATAGATCTGAGTGCTGTTTATCTGAGTGTATCAATTGTCTGAGTTGATGAATTGTTTATAGATCTTAGTACTATATAGCTGAGTGTATCAATTGTCTGAGTAGATGAATTGTCTATAGATCCGAGTGCATGAATTGTCTGAGTTTATAAATTGTCTGAGTAGATGAATTGTCTATAGATCTGAGTGCTGTTTATCTGAGTGTATGAATTGTCTGAGTAGATGAATTGTCTATAGATCTTAGTATTATCTATCTGAGTATGAATTGTCTGAATGAATCAATTATCTATTTGAGTATATAATATGTCTGAGCAGATGAATTGTCTATAGATCTGAGTGCATCAATTGTTTGAGTATATAAATTGTCTGAGTAGATGAATTATCTATAGATCACAGTGCTGTTTATCTGAGTGTATCAATTGTCTGAGTAGATGAATTGTCTATAGATCTGAGTGCTGTCTATCTGAGTGCATGAATTGTCTGAGTATATAATTTGTCTGAGTAGATGAATTGTCTATAGATCTGAGTGCTGTTTATCTGAGTACATGAATTGTCTGAGAAGATGAATTGTCTGAGTACATGAATTGTCTTAGTAGATGAATTGTTCTAGATGTAGTATATTGTAGAATGTGTTTGTAGTAAAGTTAATATATTGAGTAGATATCGTGATGGTGTTAACTGATAATTTATATTTTATGTCATATTTAGAAAGTTTCTAGACATATCAAGCTGTGCCATTAGTTTTCCAAATTGATACAAATTCTAGGTCACAAACTGTCTGCGTAAAATGATTTATATGTTGCCTTGAACCAGTTTTACATCACGTTCCCATTTATATACTGCAAATGGTTAGATGCCGAAAAAGGAGAGCAATTGCCGATTAGATTTGATATAGATTAATAATTAATCTCCTCAAATACAATTTGCACCATATTATTATGTTTGCAAGAAAAGGAAACAATCACATATTAAATTTGCAAATTATTATTATGTTTAAAGGAAGGGAGAGACCAGTTCCCTCTAATGTAATTTTCTCCGTTATATGATTTTTGGAGTAAAAGAAAAAAGACGTAAAAGATGTAATAAATTGGAGGAAAAGGGAGCAGTCGCTTCATGTTCATAAATTTGTGTTTTGACTAAATACTTTAAAACTTTATCTCGCCTCTCCTCAAAAACAAGTCCCACCTGGCTGGGAATACCACCAACACTATCGGGGCCTCATTCTCAAAAACTAAGAAACTTAGAAACTGTAAAAACCAAATACAGTTATCTGTTTGGATAGAAAAACTCAATTTAAAATTAATTTTAGTGATTCACCAATCTTGACTTTATCAAGAGAATAAGGCCCCTGGTGATAGATGTCTTTCAAATAAACAGTGTTCAGCCACTCTTGGCAGTATCAACAATTCCCATTTTCTTACCTAGACTTTAAACCTTGTCATTGTACTGTATGGTTCGTAGTTTGCCTATTGCATAGGTGTATCAGGAGATATATTATGGAAAAGATTTGGTTATGTGGCATGAGAGGTCTAGAGTGTTTCCATTGAAACTTGAAAATGCTTGGTCTATTTCTAATTAAAGATCAAAAACCATAATCTAAAACTGGTCTATATATAATGTATGCAACAGTAAAAGAAATTGTAACAAAAGGCAGCAATTTATTTTTACATTTGATGTTTTTTGTTCTCAATTTGTGTGGACATGTAAGAATAACTTTGTCACCTAGGTTTCAGGTATAACACTTAAAATAATGTTGATATTTGTACATATATATAAAAGTGCAGAAACTGAAACATTTATAATATTTTGAATGTTTTGGTCATACTCCCACGAGTGCAATGTTCTTTATTTTTCTTTAATGGCTAATCTTAAAGATTATAAAAGTTTAGAATGTATCTACATAGCAAACTTCCTGAACTTAATTTACTGTTATTTGTTAAACATATCTTTATAATTCTCTGAATTAAAGCAACAAACCCAATAACAGAAATGAAAAATAATTTTTTAAATGGATAATAAAGTTGTTGATGAAAGCAGTAGTCCATGATCTAAAGATTGGTGAAATTCAGTTCTATTCAAGTCATGTGCTTTGATTGATGTGTTAAGCACTAGTTTGTATAATCTGTTGTGTTCAGGGTCTGTAATAATACTTTCAGTATATCTATCTAACTGCTGACCTTCTAGAAATTTCAGAATAAATTCATAGTAAAACACAATACCTCACTTGTATCCAAGTGAATCTGTTATATATATCTGATACCATTCCATGAATTATTTTGTCAACTCAGCATCCCTTTAAGACAGTCTTATTATTTATCACATGTTTCTTTTAATAAGCTGTGCTTTTATTACATTTGCTACTTTCTGGTGCTTTTATGTGCTTAAGCTCTGTATCACTTAACATTTGAATAAGCCCAGCAGATGAATTGAAGGAAGATCAAGCTTTTTGGGTTTTTTTTTGTTATATATGTGACAACTAAACTTGAAACTGTCACCAGAAAAGCATTTCTCATGAGATTAGAAACTTAGGAATAAATTTCATCAGATCTTAGTTTAAGGTCTTCCTTATGTAAATCTCTTACTTTATAGTCTTGAAATGGCTTTGAGAGAACCGGTATCAGAAACTTGACTTGTCAAACAAGATATTCTTGATTATCAGGAACTCTATCTGAATAGTGAATAACAATGGAGGCTTAATGATCTTGAATGAAATAGGAAAGATACTCATAGTATTTTTATTTATTCCGATCGAATTCCTGTCTTATTGATAGCATTTAACTTTGTAACTTAAAGCTCTTTAAGATCAAAGTTTATAAACTTGTTGGTAATTATGCAAGGAATGGTAGAGAATTTTGTTTTGAACAATGATGCTTTAATTGAATCAGGGTTCTGATATATAGCTTACAAGTTGATTCAACTTTTGCTCTTGAGAGGTACATGTATTACCATGGATGGCCTTACTAATGTTTGCCTCATACATTTGAATGCACAATTGGTCTGCACTTCTGTTCAGTGAAATGTCATTAGTTGTTATTGGTATTTTATATATTTTTTTTAGATCATTTTATTGGAATACTTATGAATATGAGTCAAATATGAATCAAAATGTCACCAATTTAAGAAATTAGCTCGGGGCAAGGACAAGATGTCAACGTCTTCAAACTACAAGAAGACAAGAAGCTTGATTGCAATTGAACGACTTTTTACAAGAAATTGTAATTCGGTCAATGGATTGCTTATTTGACATTTCATTTAAATCTAATGATAACGTAATTGAATTTGATTAAAAAGATGGACTTTTAAAAAGTGTATTGGGTTAAAAATCCAAAATTTAGTGCATACAGACTAAAGGATTAATAAAGCTTCTAGTTCCTGACTTATTTCAAATTTTAGTGCCTTAAAATACATCTAGGCAATTGATGGGAAAAAAAAAGTTCCACCTGTCATGGATTGTTAAATGTATTGTGACATACCAGTCTAGAGAAATAATGATAAATTATCAGAAATCAGTATACTAAATAAAAGTCAAGACGTTTGTAATGAAATCGATGTTCGAATTTAAACGATACATGCATGAACAAATGATTTTCTATAACTGGACACATATGTAGGGTAACAATTGTTTAGAAAATGGCATGTGATGTCTGATTACTACCTAATACAAGCATTGTTCACTTTCTGTAAATTCAAGAATTGTACACTTTCTGTAAATTCAAGAATTGTACACTTTCTGTAAATTCAAGAATTGTACACTTTCTTTGAATACAAGCATTGTACACTTTCTGTAAATTCAAGAATTGTACACTTTCTGTGAATACAAGCATTGTACACTTTCTGTAAATTCAAGAATTGTACACTTTCTTTGAATACAAGCATTGTACACTTTCTGTAAATTAAAGAATTGTACACTTTCTTTGAATACAAGCATTGTACACTTTCTGTAAATTCAAGAATTGTACACTTTCTGTGAATACAAGCATTGTACACTTTCTGTAAATTCAAGAATTGTACACTTTCTGTGAATACAAGCATTGTACACTTTCTGTGAATACAAGAATTGTACACTTTTTGTGAATACAAGAATTGTACACTTTTTGTGAATACAAGAATTGTACACTTTTTGTGAATACAAGAATGGTACACTTTCTGTGAATACAAGAATTGTACACTTTCTTTTAATACAAGAATTGAAAACTTTCTGTTAATATAAGTATTGCACACTTTCGGTTTCTGGGATGTTTAATATAAATTTAATATAAATATTAATGAGCTTATAGATGCACATGTGCTGAACCCTGTAATTGAGCAATATCAGACAATTACCGGTATATCTCCATTCTCCACATGGTCAATGACCAAAGGTAAGTGATCACTAATTGACCATGATTTGTCTATTATGTATCCAACTCCCTGGGCTTTGATAAGTGATTGGCCCACATTTCAAACAAATTATTATTGAAAGGGATATTATTGTTTTTTTTTTCACAAGCTGATGGAAGTAAAATAAAATGTTATCTTAAAGAGATTGTAAAGAGGCTTTCTAATCATAAAGTGTGTTTGGGAGACTGTTGGCCAGCATAGATTTACACCATTCCAATTTTAATCAGATGTCTGGTTCATGCAACTCCACAATCCTTTCAGTTATGACCCTGTGAAATAAAATACCTTCGTTAAAATTGAAATATCAGTCTGATATTTAGACGGATGTCATGTCTGCATTAAATTACATTTAGTTTTTGTTGCTATTGAAAACATGCTAAATGTCAAATTAGGCATCATTCTGATTGATATGTGATACGTAGGTCAAATTAAATCTGTTCTGATAAAGCAAATATTTCGATACATATATCCCTTTCACTGTTTTTGTAATCTTGACCATAATTTAACTGAGATAATCTCTACCATTATCAAGGTATCATGATTATCAAGGTATCATCCTTATTAAATCAGGTAAAAAAAAATTAGAAATAATCTATTGTCATTAAACATAAAAACTTTTATCTAAAATTGAATGAAATTTACTATTGGAAAATCTCTTTGTAATTATTTTTTTGATGATATTTAATGAAATGTAATCATGAGTAATTTGACACAGTGTTTAAAATGTCCATTAATCTTGAAAATTACCTTGTTTTTTTTTTCTTTGTCCCACGCACAATTTAGATAATAACCTTGAAAGATATTTGTAGTCATCCAAAGGCACTGAAAATGAGCAGTATTCCCATTTGTTGTAACAAAAGATTTACTGATGCTGAAATCAGTGTTTCAAAAGATTTACTGATGCTGAAATCAGTGTTTTGAAAGATTAACTGATGCTGAAATCAATGTTTTGAAAGATTTACTGATGTTGAAATCAGTGTTTTGAAAGATTTACTGATGCTGAAATCAGTGTTTTGAAAGATTTACTGATGCTTAAATCAGTGTTTTGAAAGATTTACTGATGCTGAAATCAGTGGGTTTTTTTTAGATTTACTAATGCTGAAATCAGTGTTTTGTAAGATTTAATAATGCTGAAATCAGTGTTTCAAAAGATTTACTAATGCTGAAATCAGTGTTTAGTAAGATTTACTGATGCTGAAATCAGTGTTCAGTAAGATTTACTGATGCTGAAATCAGTGTTTTGAAAGATTTACTGATGCTGAAATCAGTGTTTTGAAAGATTTACTGATGCTGAAATCAGTGTTTTTTTTAGATTTACTAATGCTGTAATCAGTGTTTTGTAAGATTTAATAATGCTGAAATCGGTGTTTCAAAAGATTTACTAATGCTGAAATCAGTGTTTAGTAAGATTTACTAATGCTGAAATCAGTGTTTTAATAGATTTACTGATGCTGAAATCAGTGTTTTTTTTAGATTTACTAATGCTGTAATCAGTGTTTTGTAAGATTTAATAATGCTGAAATCGGTGGTTCAAAAGATTTACTAATGCTGAAATCAGTGTTTAGTAAGATTTACTAATGCTGAAATCAGTGTTTTAATAGATTTACTGATGCCTAATCAGAATATAATAAAAATGTTTTGATTTACTTATTACTGAATGAGGTTTTAAAGAGATTTATTGATGGTTAGTGATAGTGTATAAATTGATTTAGTAGTGAATAAATCAGATCTACAGATTTGTGTTAACTGTTAACAGTGTATCTAGAACATTGACAACAAATCATGATTGGCTAGGTTGAAGTATCTTATACATGCAATTGCATAGAATTGATTAACATTAGTCTAATAGAACTGCGTTTCTGACTGAATTCAGACTAATGGAATCTTCATGTTATGTATTAGCTGTATTAATGAACAAATATAATGTCTTACTTTTCTGCACCTGATTGAGTAAGTTGGCTACATCCAAACAAAATTTTCTTTCGTATCAGCCTCTCTAACCTGCATCACCAACACAGTGAACTGATTTGAAAAATCAAAAGGTATTATATTAAAAAAAATAATAAAAATTTCCTTTTTAAAGTTTACATTTATCTGTTATGTAGAAATAGGCCAGACAATAACCAAATATTGTTGAGGTTGTCTTGTATAATTTTTTATACAGTGTCACAAGAGCAAGCGATTTTACAACACGCCTGTGTGGACAAGGACCTATTCAAATGACATGAGGGTTTTCAGGCGTTTTCATGCTGTAGATTATGTGGCGTGAAAACGGTCATGATAATGTGTATGTGGATACAAGTCTTTATTGTTTCTTTACATGATGTTGATGTCTTTGACTGTCACTGACTAGACGAATGTATATAAAATGTGAAGGTCAATAAAAGGATATTGTATGTAATAATGATAAGGTTATGCTAGTAGCAAGGTTAAAGCATGACATATATAATATATTTACCTTGTTTTTTGGTACCAGGAATATTTGACTTTGTATAACCTTTTTGATCTATGTTTCAAAATGTTGATGAGTGCTTTACAATTAACAATTCTACTTTGTGGAAGGTTTTTTGGATTTAAGACATTTAATTAATCAGACAATCCCTGTCTCTGACTACACCTAATATTAGTATAGTTCCCATTCTTCTTTCCTCTTTCCACAAGTAAAATACTTCATATTTAATAATGCCTATTTTCAGATTTCTATATTTTACATATTCAAAACAAAATATTATTTTTATTCAGAAAGAAACCTTAGATACTTTGTTTTTGTTAAAATGGCTGGGTTTCAGGATAGGGCCAATTTACCAGCCTTCAAATTTACATGGTCTTAGGCATGAAATAACTTGTATATTGGATCCTAATATTTCAGGTTATTTGTTAAGTCAAAGTGAACAGAAGATAGGTTCACCAGAACGTCCTCTATCTGACCTAGGTTTGATAACCTACAGAAGTTATTGGAAAGATGTGTTGTTAGGTTATATACATAAATATACTGGTAATGAGCTCTGCATCAAAGGTGAGATTATAAGTAAAGTTTGAATGATTACTGTAACCTGTTTCTCAAAGGATCCTTAAATAACCCCAAAGTTGAAACTCTGGGCTTAATTGAAGATGATATTAAAACAAAATTTAAAACAAGTTTAAGACTATTGCAACATGACTATTTTGGTCTTATTAAAATACCAATTATTATTCTCCATTTACTGTTAGTTTATGGGCATAGCTTGCAATTTCTAGCTCTCAGATGAATTCATATACAACAATTTAGGTTTGAAGACTGTTAGGGAAATTCATATGACTTTACTTGTTATTATGCCATTATTGAGACAACACTCTACCAATTTGTCTACAGCCATCCTTTTTTTTTTTTATTTCAGATGTAAGTCAAGAAACAGCTATCAATGCCAATGATATTGTTAGTACATTACAAGCTCTAGGGATGCTTAAATATTGGAAAGGAAAACATCTAGTCTTAAGACGGAAGGTAATATTAGTTACATATACATTGTATTGTTGAATTTAGATCTTTAGATTACAAGTTTTTGTTGCCTGTACTAATATAATTTTAACACTGTTCAAGAGTTGCACAATGCACATGAACATATAACAAAGTATTACAAAATCTAGCTCAGGGCTGTGGTAGTTTGTTTTATTAGTAAACTATTGCTCAGCTGCCTTATACTGGAAAACATAAGATGATTGTAATGTTTCAGTCATCCGATTGGACAATCACCAAAATTGAATTTCAATGTTTATTGTCCAATCAGATTACTGTATTTCTTAAAATCTGGATTTTATCTTATTTAAGTTTTCGAGAAGAAGACCCCAGGTCCATTCAAGGCGATATTTTAAAATACTTGACAACATGACAGAATGATGAAATGTACTTAAATTGTTTCTTTTATATTGTTGAGATTACCATTGCCTTTCATACGTGTTTTCCCACCACAGCCCAATTTATATAGATCGGGGGTCGGAGACACTAAAGATTTTGGTAGGCTTAAAGGGATTGTAAAGTGGTTTTCTAAACTTTTTATGTGTATCAGGGACACTGATAGCATCAATTTGCACCATTCCAATTTTCATTTCAGACGTCTGTGGCTCTTGCAATTCCACTAAAACTAACGTGTTTTATCACATCACTAGAGGGGAAATAGATATCAATAGTAGT